ATGATATTCAAACTAACGCTTTTTAACAGTATCGAAGTTACGCTAAAATGTTATTTAAATGTTAAACGACTTACGCCTTTTAACTGTATTAATATTAAAGTTATTGTGAATGCTATTCAAACGTTAACCGACTGACGCTTTTTAACAGCATTGAAGTTGCGGTGAACTGCTGCCTTCAAACGTGTAACGACTGTCGATTTTTAGCAGTATCACAGTTACTGTAAAATGCCATTGTAACGTTAAACAACTGGCGCATTTTAAGGTTTCTAGTATTCAAACGGTTTGTCTATCGCGCCATGGGCCAAACCTGGTGGTTGAGCCACTTTCCTTTCATTAAAGAACTTCCTTACCTTGGATTGCATGACTTTTTGTCTCAATTAATGAAATCAGTTTTACTAACTGTCAGCTCAGTTAGTAAAAGGTTAGAGTTGAACTGGCCACAACAACAGACCGTATCTATTTATGAAACGTAAGAAAACATTGGCAAATATTTCTGAATCACGTTTTTTTGTATTTGAACAGATTATTTTGTTATGTATAACCAAACTCTGACTATAAGAAACATTAAAAATGATAAGATAAATAAAATCACAAGTATATATAGAATTAGTGAACAACACTTAAAAAAAAAAGAGAACAATGCTCAAATATATGGACACGAAAGCTATTTACAATAATTGCATCACGCTGTTAAACCAGCAAATATTTTTAGCATTGATAAAACCGCGACCACCATATTTCATAACATGTTGAACACTGTTGGAAACATTGTAACGCTTCCTCATTGGCATATTGATGTTGTTTACCGCAAAACTGTAATGAAAAAAGCAAAAAGATGAGCATAAACATAGCGTGCAAGCGTACGAATAAAATGGAACAAGTTAATTTGACTGCAAATGCAGTAAGACAGGGGTCGGCAACCTACGGCCCGCGGGCCGGATCCGACATCAGAGAATATTGCCATGATTACTGAATTTGTTGCGATGTCATTCCCTTCCACCAGTGGTTCTTCTAGCACTGTCTCCAGGATAAATTTGATGGGATAAGTCTGGATAATATCTGTAAGATAATTGGAAAAACCTCTATATTTACCGTTTGCTCTTGCCCAGTTTAATATTGCTTGCCATGATGTTTGATAACTCCCATTTGAAACTTTAATGTAATGCAGTAGATCTGAGCCGTATGCCGTAGCCATGACATTCTGCTGGAACCAAGCTTACAGTAATACATGCAGTCAGAGCCACCAGAAATTTTAGTGGCTCCAGCTTTAACCTTCTAATTCTTTTTCTCACATCTAGCTCAGCTCCTAGTTAAAAAATAAATCCATGGAGCAGGAGCCACGGATCAAATATACTGAGGTGCTGGAGCTGTTGTTTTTTTACCATTTTATGGTTCCACAATGTGGATTAATCAATAATTGAAGGTTCTTTCGTGAAGATAGGATTGTTTCTATACGTTTCTATATTTCTTCTCAATCAAAACAACATCAAATTTCAACGTTTTCGTTCAATATAAAAGTACAGAGCCTTGAAAACAGGAAGTGAACCATCGAAGACTTTATAATTTGGACCTTTCAATTCCGCTTTTTTCGCAGCCTTTACGACGGTTGCCAAGTCGTTGATGTTAGAAAATGATAATAAATGATTTTAACTGATAATTCTCACTAACATTAATAAACAGTTACTGAGAATCTTAAAATATAATAATAAAACTACGACATTTAGAAAAACTCAACTATTGTAAATGCTTGAATGAAAATGTCATTGCCGTTTTGCTGGGCATAAAATCTGAAAAATGTAGTACGTCTCTCCCCCAACTCTTTAATGAGACATTATGATAAGATTTTCTTTATTTAACCCGAACAAATGAGCATTTTTTGCAGAAACACATGGGATTCTACGGGCTTGTCAAATTGTTCTAATCATAATACTTTAATTGTTGTACTGTTGTTAATTGGGATTTGAAGAACACGGACTGGAATATTCGTTTCTGAAGATACCGTCCCGCCCGAGCATGATAAGAAAACGACCGTTGTCACCTAAACTAATACCTTCAGTGAAATCGAATATTAACAGTATTGAAGTTGCGATGAAAAGGTATTTGGACGTCAAGTGACTGACGCTTTTTTTACAGTTTCAAGTTACGGTGAAATGCTGTTTAACGACTGACGCGTTCTAACAGTATTACTGTTAAAAAAGGTCAGTTGGTAAATGTTTAAATGGCATTTCACCGTAACTGCAATATATACTGTTAAAAATCGCCAGTCGCCATCTAATCCGATATTTTTTTCCATACATACTAGTATTTAGAAATGTAGTAGTGTACCGTTACTTCTTGACGGTAACATTCCTAATGGATAAATGCAGAAATACTGATACCTAAATACCTACCTCACTCAGCCACTCTAACCGCAGAACGGTGTTATTAGGCTTCTTACTAACACACCAACTTCTACTTAATTCTTTTCTAAGTTCTCACTTTAATGTTATGAATCTGTCAGTATCGATATTTGTATGTCGGACTCTACGGTCGGTAATGAAGGTTCTCATAATTGAAAAGTCCAGTCTATCCTGCACAGGGCCTGGCCATGCCTTTTACAGTTTTAGAGGCTTGAGCACTTACGACCTTGATGTTCTATGTATAAGAAGTAATATAAATAATAATTAGTGTTGTGTTCCATATTATCTGAAATTACATATAGCATTCCTTACTGAAGGAAGTCCTGATATTTTTTGGAAATAGTTCTCATGCCTACAAACATTCATAGAAGGATAAGATAGATGCTCTTAAAAGAAAAACAAGCAAAATTTATCTCAATCGGAACAATATTGAGCTCTGACACTGAGCCGTCAGACCATTTTAATAAATTCATTAAGCACTGAAGCGCCATTGAAAATTCGACTATGAAAATTTCTGTGGTGCCCGTTTTTCCTTGGTGCCCCAAGCTCGTGTTTATTTTTTGGATTAATCGAGCCCTGCATATCCGACATGGACTGGTAACCGGACAAGACCGAGAGACGTGTAGCAAGAAATCGGAAACGGAAAAGTCTGAATCCACCTCATCTCAATGCTCCTTTCTAATTTGAAAGTTCCGATTCGAAATACGATGACATACGCTCTTCTAGTGACTTGGTTAGGGTAGCAGATGAAACGTCTTCTCCAATCAAGAAATGAAAAGATAGGTCGGTCGAGTCGTTTCAAAAAGACATGATCGTTATGGAGACCGGGTCTCGTATTTGGATGATTTTTGATTTTTCAAATTATTTTTTTTCCGATTAATGTTTCTATACTTGAGGTATCATATTTTTCTTGTTATATATTTATGAGCCGGGGAGAGTTATTTGTGTCTGTAATTCTAGTAATTTGTTATACAGTCACGACATTTGACTCTTCTGCATTGAGACATTCAGTTGACGTTTTTAGTTAAGAAAAGAGTACGGACCTGGTTATATACGGGGAATTGAAAGTAAAGGATGCCGTAAATGACCAGAGGTTACGTGAAGGTAAATCACGGCGAGGAGTCCAGCAAGCCTCTCGCACATAATTTTCCCCCACGAGATGCGAACTCTCGCAGGGACTTGTTGCCACAAGCTTATTGGGTGTAATTTTTTCAGTTACTTTGAAAGGCCAGTGCAGATCTTACTTTGCGTTATTGGTAACGTCAGGTTGACGCAGATATGCAGGCGAGCATATTTGAATGGCTTTTCGCGAAATTTGAATTGTGGTGGTGTCATTAGAAATAAAGTACAGAATTTTAAACATAATGTCGAATTTGATCGGATTTTTCGGTATCAGATCGAGCTATTTTGCATCTATAATAGCTGGATTCACATTGTAGTTTATACGCACATCTATTTCACAATCGTAAGATTATAAATCAAAATTAACAGTAATAATATTTCCGATCATTTGTTTTCATGTAATGTATACCACGTCTCCAAGTTATCCTTGGTTTCCGAAATAAAGGGTTATAAAGATAGCATTATAAGACGCGCATAGAAATTTGGAAAACCGGCTTGCAGTGTTCTAAGTGTTCAATAAAGATAAAGTAGCTATGATTGTAGAATCAACCTCGATAAACATAAAGTAACATAATGAGTTAGTCATTTTCTAAAATAAACAACTTAATTTGATTTGGGACTATTTCGTTAAGAAGCATGCATCTACATTTCTCGCATTTTGAGTGAAGTAACACCGCCTACAAGACATGTTACCTCCATAAACAGCTTTTGGTAGCTTGCCAAACACCTCCAGTGATAACATGATTGTTCAAAAGCTATTTATTTGTCTGAACCTTATGTCTCCAAACAAGCAACTGGTTTCAGACAATACCTTAAATTTTTGAGACAACATGTTTTCGACAATACGGCGCTTCGGAATAAGAACTATTGAAACTGGACACCCGATGCCAAGCGGTAATGAAAGCAACAATAGGTGTTTTACTATGTACAACTGTTTGTATATAACTCAGCAGGGTGTCCAAAACTATTTTTCTCAGAACAGACGACAACCTTTGCTTTGGATTACTATGCAGACGACGGCCAGAAACTGTCTCTTCCCATCATGTGCATCATCATTGGAATAGGCGTGAAAAGACAGACAGATGAAAAATACGTTAGATTAATCTAATGACGGCATTATTGAGTTTTAAATCATGTTTTTTATGCACACAGCTAGAAAATTCATTATTGTTCAGTTAGTCCTTAGACTATGAGATACAAAATACCGAAATATTTTTCAGTAATGTACATAAGCGGGAATCATTCTGGGTGGTAAAAATATCAGAAAATAAACTGCAGATGACATGTGTTGACAAACTGAAGTGAAAGCTATTGATTGGATTGCAGTTCTCATGTAACATGTAATCAATGTAATATCGTTTGAAATTCTCTTCACTATCTAGAATTAAGATATAATGTTTTGGCGCTGGGTACTAACCGTTTTATCCATGTGTGCAAGGAATCACATGTTTACAGGATGAGATATTCAAAAGTTTGAATAAGCATACTACTCTGTTTATACGGGTTAACGTACGAGATACTACTACATTTGGACTCTATATTTAATATTTTCGCAGCAAGCAAGGCTACACTATAAAATAACCTAGAATTCGTGCAGGCCTACTCATCTAAGCCGAAGCTCTTCTGTTATATTGCAGCCTCTCTGACATATTAGGCTACGATAGTTGTTACATTCACTTGAATGTTTAGAATCTTATTCTTAGAAACTGATAAAAAGCCTGTAGCAAGCTTTGTTTTTAAACGTTCATCGATTGATTCAAGTTCTTTATTCACCGATCGTTTATGCTTATCATGGAGGAATATACAGTAGAAGAAACACCGTTGACACCAGAAGAAGAATTGGATGAAGAAGATATATTTAATAATTCAGCTGATTCGAATTTATCAGAAGAAAAACAAAAAAAAGTTCTGCTAAAATATATACAAGTAAATTAATTTAAGATGTTTTCATGAAGGCAAATGCAATACAGGTACTATAGTGTTTTATAAAGGCATCAAGAAAAGTGTATACATGATAGGAACCTAATATTCAAATATTACGAAACATAATAGTACAGCAACCTTACATAATGAAAAATGATCATTCAAATCATTATAGTTCAACATAGCATTCATTTTCTTATAAATAATGGGGTGAGATGATGGGAATTTTTATTAATCGCTGGACCAAAAGAAAAATTAGATCAATATATGCCAATCTATAACTTTATACTTAAATACTACTGTTTATAGATGAAAAAAACTATTTACTAATATTCATTGATGTATTAAATCTTTTATTACACATTGTGTTACTCAATATAAATAAAAAGAAAACAATGTGTAGAAGTAAAGTTCAAAAATTCCTATTACTCAGGAAAAACGAGATCTTCAAGAGCAGTTAGATTCGAAGGAAAAATCCATTCAAGAATATAAAGCAAAAGTATACGATTTGTCAACCAAAATTACACAATTAGAAAAAGAAGTTTCTAGTTTGAAGAAAAATGCTGCCAGAATTCCACCCCTGGTAAGAAAATAGCAATCATCTATAAGAGTAATTGGACCGGAAATGAACCTATTGATCGTTTTGCTAATTGTTGGTGTCCCGCAACTAATAACCCAGTCGAGTTCAAATTTCCAGTACTCGAAGATGGATGAAGTCTCTGGAAGACTATTATTTCTATATAATTTTTAATTTCCTATGGGACTCGATTTTCACGTAAAATTTTCTCGTTTTATTCTAATTCAATGGAAGACTTTTTATGGCGCATGTAAACACGTTATTCCGCTAAGCTCGTCGGCCGATCTTTTCAGCGAAGTCGGTGCTCAGATAAAACCTTACCGGTACCGATGCGCGGCATTCGTGGTCTTATGAGCATTGCGCTCTTGTTAATTCTAAATAAGTCCTTTATATAATTTTTAATTAGTTTAAGAGTATTCAGAAAAAAAAAAAATAGTAGGCCTACTGGGAATGAAGGATGTAAAAATTTACAAATTTAAGTTGTATTTGTTTTTGGTATTGAAGTCAAAGATTGGTCACATTTTGCCTGAATGTATTTTTCATTTACATTATAGGAATAATTTGTTTCCTAATTCTTGCAGGCAAACAGAAATTCTAATGTCGGTGGTCGCTCACCGGCGTTAAATAGAACTGGTGTGGTAAGACCATCAACGGCTAAGAAAGTAACAAGAACTAAACCTGGCAAAAAGAAATCGAACATTGCAAACGTAAAAAGAACAGACAGCCCAGCTTCTTCAAGTGCAACTCCGGAGCCACCAGCCGATACCAAAGGAAATGCAATTCTTGCATTAAAAACATTGGATAGATACCAGGTGAGAATGTAGGTTTTTATGAAATAAAGAAAGCGAAACATTTATATTATATGTAAAAATGACTTTTTTGTTTATTTATATATATATACCAGTCTGAGCAGTCTCGCTGTTTTACATGAGCTTTTACGGCTTTACAGGACATTAAAATGAATTTATAGGGAACTTATACAGTGGATAAAATTTAAAAATCTTTAAACATAATGTATATATAATGTAATATAAGTTCATTATAGTGATTCTTATCTATCAAAAAACAATTAGTATTAAGGATTTAGTATATAATATTGTTTGTATATACCTGATGATAATTTTTTTAGGAAATCGCGAAAAAATTTCCCGAACTGAGTGTGGCAATGATGATGAAGGCCGAAAGTGTTTTCATGGAGGCTGATATAAATCACGACGGGGTAAGAAGTTGGGAATAATTTATACAGTTCTAGGATAATTAAAATTTAAATAGGAAAACGGGATAAAAATTATACAATAACGTAAAGTGAAAAAATATTTTATACGACAATTTGTTTAGAAACAGCTAGGTGAAATATGTATGTATGATGAGATAAATATATATATATATAGACATGGTAACAAATTCTCATATTGAAGACAGGATGTATGCTATGCCCATATTGTCTGTGACTTATACTCACTCTAACACTTTGACTTTTGAGAATATAAGAGTGATGCCACAATCTACCAAAGCAAAATATCAACCCCGAATGACCTGGTTGAACAGAAATAAACACAGTATACAATACCACGAACGTTTAAGAAACATTGCGCAAGGCAACACATGACATGGGTCAGTGCAGTACGTGGCAACGAAACCCAATATTGTGCTCTTACATGACTATCAATACAATATAATACAGTATCAAACTTTTGTATCTCTTCTGTGTCAAAATGTGGCAACAACGCTGTAATTAAAATATTACCTATTGGAACATATAGATTATAGATAATGATATTTGAATTACCGCCTTGTTGCCACAATTCGACTCTATCGTTGTCAAATTTTGTTAATGCCGTTATATCTTTTTTGGACTGTTACAAAATTAGCCAAGTCAGTATTTTAATATGTCAAAGAATAGCTGGCGGAGCCGCCCTCCTGGGACTCCGCACGGATCACTATGAGAATCTATGCTTTAATTTAAACAACTCCTTGAGATTAATTCTGAGATTGGAGTCGTGAGAACAAACCAAAGCTTTTGGTATGTTTCACGATTGATTTTAAGTTTGTTTAAATTATTTGCGAGATCTTAAACAGATGAAATAAAGATAAAATGAAATAAATTTCATGTGAGGTTAAAAATATTTCTGATAGTGACAGAAATTTGATTAAATTTCACAAAATGATCAAATCATGATGTGGAAAAATGAAGTTGTTGGTGTCACAAGTTGCGATTTCCCGGTAATAAATATCGAGACAACTATTGGAACATCACCGAAGAGTCACAATCGGAAGGGATAATACAAAGGCATTCCTCAGTGACTCATATTTGTCGTCACATGCCATACTATTCTACAATACGTGCCACGTCTGTAAATAATCATAGGACATCACAAATATTGTGCGTTGTAGTTTCTTACTAATGACGCATGTCGATATATGTTTTCGCTATTTTACTCAGATTTGAGGAATATTTTGGCAAAATAGAAAGCTCGCTTTCTGCCCAGGCTTTGCTGTTTATTATTCACATACGTGCGTCCAAATGTCCATTGTTTTAAATTGTGATATGCTGGTCAGTATGTTTGTTCCCACGCTTCAAAATAATTAAAATGTAATTTGACTCCAACGATGTAAATATATTTGTATATATGCCTTTTATTTATAGTTAAACAAACAATACTTATAGGATGACAAATGTCACAAATGTAGCCGTGATTTCATTTCACATATCACCCTAATCATTTGCTTATCCTGAAAAAAATATATTATCGAATTCATCTACGATCAATACGATTCAAATAAATCAGTCACTTGCTTATAGGATTTTCTTACAGAATTACGTGCACAGACATTGTCTATTTATCACAAAGAGCCAATCTTTTGCCCTGACGTGTGTTACAAAATGCCTTCGTGACGGACGCATGTGTAAGTTGTGTACTACAGATATCGTCGAAAATTGTCTTTTAATGTTTATTTAAAAATAATAATAAATATCTTCCATAAAGGGTAAGTAGGCCCGCCTAAATGGAATCGGAATGTTAATTTTTTTTTATTTATATTACAGACTATTGATGAGGACGAATTAGAAAAACTCATAGAAAAGCAGGGCCACTATATGACAACAAAGAAAGAAGTTCGTGAAATAATGAAGGAATTTGATAAAGATGTTTCGGGAGGAATTGATTTGATGGAATACATGGCGGTAACTTTTTAACACGTTTTAAACAATTTTCCCAAGCTCTTTTCACAGTTTACTTATACTAGCTAAGTGTCAAAGACCTTTATTCGCGTTTTAAAATGAAGCCCAACTGTTTTCTTCAACAAGTAACGCGATATAAAATAGTGCCAATTCAAAATCAATGGTTTCCCGCAAAAAGTATCAATTTATCATTAACTCAGAATTAGCTTTGAGCATTATTGGATCACCAGCACTTTCACTTGAGTAATTTACGGTTGGCTACATCAATCATGCTTTGAACCAAAGATTCATCACTACTAAATTACCTTATAGGTGATGGAACGAATTCAACAAAGAAAACGAACAAACTTGCCTCCAGCTTTAACGAAGAGTTCAGTCTGTACGATCCAATGACATGTTGGAGGAACTGCAGGCAGACTATCTGATATAAAGATAATATTACTTGCAGAACGACGTGTGGAAACTTAATCATATATTTTATGTGTCCTGTAGAAATCCCATGCTAGTACAAAATAGCCAGAAAAAAAGTTTTAAAATGTTTGGTACTCTTTTGGTAATATATATATATATATATAGAGCTCTTCGACGATGCAGAAACCCTAAACTAGCCACCAATGATGCTGAAAAATTTTAAGGATAGTCCTATAGGAGCATATGAAGATCCTTCCCCCTCCGAGTATTCAAATGAAGACCCCCTCCAGACGCGCTCATATTGAGATCCTAACCCAAGCGCACAAGCGAAGCTGTTCCGACCTAACCCACGCTCATGCCATAAGGGCACGAGGAAACTTCCCTTACGGCCTCAGCATGGCCTAGGTAGGAACCGCTTCGCCTTTGCCATTAGCTTAGGTTAGGATCTTGATTAACCGCTACTGGGGGTGGATCTTCATATGCGGTAGGTTTGGGGGAAGGAAATTCATAGTTTTATGTTTCCTCAAATGGATATTAACATTGTTTTCAATTTCGTGGACTTTTTTTTTCAGTAAAAATTCATATGATGGTGTTGGAAAGTGGATTTTAAAAATATCACAGCTTTCAAAAAATTACTTAAAATGTTGATATTTGTTTGAAAACTTCGCTTAGATTGAATTATGATTAGGCTAGTGGAACGTGAAGACAACAAAGTATAACCCGAAAACGTTTGTTGACAACTAATCTTCAATATAAATAATGCACAAAGGCAAAGCATGACAATAATATTCTCATCTTTTTATAATGTTTCATATTTATTGTTGGTATTTTTTATATTGTGAAAAATATTTATGTATAATTAATGTGATGAGTTGATCTGTAACATAATATTGCACTAAGGTGGAAAATTTTCAAATCATATATATGGCATCGTAATAATATCAACAAAAATAAAATCCTGAGTAGGCTAGCATGATATAATAAAGCATTACACCATTAGGGTGACGGTCAGGTCATCGTATATCAAGTCTAATATGACACAGAGACCACCTTTAAATGTATACGATATTAAGTAGTTATATTTGCCGAAGGGCGATGTCTAAAAGATATGTGTCCCGCATGCGCCTTTCTCAGAACACTGTTCCAACTTTGCTACACTAATGCCACTGTTCTGAGATATAATAGTTGTGTATTGTGGGTCAAAGAGTTAAAGCAAGCATAGATGAAAGTGGAATTAATAATACATATATATTACAATTCGACGGAAGGTAAGAATGCGATTGTGACAAGACATTTAGAGCCTGGTCCCAAAGTGAAAATAATATTCAGCACACTCATTTAGATCTTAATGATCCGTAGATCATCGACGCCTATTTCACTGTTTCGTCAGGCTTACCGTATATCAGTGTATATCGAACTTTTTGTTTCTACGGCGCCAAATTATTAGTAAAAAAACTCACGGCGCACTTAGATGAAAATATGCTCACACGAAAAAATTCTCAATTTTGTGATTTAATGTGTACTTTACGCCCTTCAAAGTTTGTACACATGTAAGCTTAAAGAATAAAGACAAAGGTCAACAACTTTCCTCACATCACGTCTGCCTGATTTTCATTTGAAATATACTGTATACTAAAAATATCACTCAGGCTCGGTAAACTTGGTTCAGCAAATAAATAAACTGCATCAAGAAGTATTGGGACATACCAATAAAGGCATACACCCCTTAACAGAAAGTAAACGACTTAGAAAGGTAAATGAGTTTATTGATCTATATACACAGCATTTAAAATGTTTCAAGCGCGCCACGGCAAATGGAAACATCCATCGACTTTCGAAACTTTCAAGTGCACAGCTTAGCAACTCATGCGCGACTGACGCAGAGCTCAATAAAGGCATGGTTTTAGTACAACTATGATAAAACTTTGCAGTTCTTGCTATATAGTCTGATAGTAGACTATATTGCTGTATTGCATTGTAGTAGGCCAGAGCAAGAGATCGGGTTATTTCTATTTGGGACAAGAGATGAACGGTACTCTTTTTGATGAAAAATTCCTTTATTTAGTTATTAGCGTTTTGTTCATTTTCAATGTGATACGTGGGTTTAGGAATTACGGTGACGTCCAGGGTTTTCAGGTGTTATCAGACAAATCATCGTCGTCATGTCCGTTAAAGGCACCGTATTAGAAAGTTATCAGTTTGATGTTAGAGATTTCTCTGACAGGCAAATACAAGTTATCAAAGCTGCATGTGCTGCAGGAAAAGGTAACACAGAATTGAAAAGAAAATTGCATTTATCCATTGCTCGTCAAGAGCACAACAGAAAAAAGTACGTCAAGAAAGTCGCTCTTGAAAGAAGAAAAGCATACATGAAGCCAGTCTATGATAATCTGCGTGAAAAACTGCATATTCCCATAAGAGTATGGAATTTTTTTGGCGATGCTAGGAGAAGAATTGATAATTTCAGCCAGTCGTTACTTCCAAAGTCATGGTCACTGTATGGTCAGGTGAGTGTTGACATGCAGACATCGATTTTAGTGACTCCAAATATAAAACTATGATTTAACATATGCATTGATGGATGGATGATAAAAATTTCCATCACTGTACCACAAACTGCACTGCATTTTATATTTATCCCAGATAGAGAAATTTGTAGCGAACCATGGCTTCTTGCCGGTCTATATTGGGTATGCAAGTTTTGAACATGGTATTTAGAACCACATTGTGGAGTATCATTCCTCATTGATGTGCGATTGCATTGATCTTCAAATGAATATGTGCAAAATATATCTTGTAATTTTCTCCTATATTCTCAATCAAGGACACAATGGAATGGCCAGAAATACATATTGATGAAGATGCAGGCCATTCACCTCATGTACTAGCAGGTATGCCTGCAAACTGTGTCAAATTACCTGGATGGGAACGAGTAAAGCAGGCTTTTTTACCAAGAATATATATGGAAATGTATGATCCATACAACCCAACTCACACCTTTAACTGGGATACCCTAACGTAAGATCTACTATTGTATTCACAATATTGGATGTTGAGGCGCTAAGTATAATTTATCATATTCATCCTTAAGAAAGTAATCATGTGGCATATCATGGTCTTGCATGGGACCAGTAATGTATGGGAATATTGAACTAGTTAATCAAGAGTTTGCTGTCGCCAGGAGGGAATTTTATTTTGTTTTTTTTTCCTTTGATATTACTTGCTTATTATTATTCTTATGCATATTTATAAACACATTATAAACTATTTAAAGTGTACAGAAGCCAGATTGCGAGAATGTGTCACTAGCCAATATCCTGGGGAGAGAAAAGAGATAAGACGGGCTCAATCATATGGCGAACTTGTCCGATTACCAGTCCATGTCGGGCATGGGATTAGTTAGTCGGGTATTTGTTTCAGATGCATGGACTTGATGGTGGAGGAAGCCTCACGTGAAACACAATACAACGGCTCAGAGTTCAGCAATCGTCTCGCACATAATTATGCCTTACAGGATTCGAACTTACGCAGGGTAATCAGAGGTGTGGTATGCCGGTATCCTAACGCTTCACACCCTTAAATGTTGAAATACAAATGGAAATAGATTTTTATATCACGAGAGGAAAATAAATAGATCGGGAACCACTGAATTAATCCTGCAAATATCGGTAATCATAACCAGAGTAGCAAAAATGTGAATGTTCCCAACACTCCACTAACAACCAATTAGCAGAATAAATTCAGAATTTTTATGCTTCTAGCTTGTGGTCATCACCATTCATAGTTTCAATTTTTTACATTTACTCGCAAAATATCTCAACCTGTATTATTTACAGCTTGAGTACATTTATTTTGAGCTGCGTGGTTGGAGTTTTTCATGGTGCAGAATATGCAAACCGTGATCTTGCTAAATACAAAGAACATGAAGGGACTGTATTCTATGAATCCAGGTACAGTAACGTGAATTATTACTAGTTTTCTTTTGGCCTGCATATATTTATGGAAGTAATACCCAATTTCTGTTCCAGAATGATGGGCCAACGGGTTCGAGACGCTGTTTATGCGAGATCTTTAGCGAAGTACGCAATACGATGGGGATGGAGGTTCGGCCTACTATATGCAGTAACATACGGAATTAGTCAATCAATGACAATATACAGACTGGAGGACAAAGTCGGTCACTATGTTGCAGCTACTGGGATTGCCACAGCACTGTATGCATGGAAAAGTGGGCCATCTGGAATGATGAGATTTGGTATCGTAGGAGCCATTCTTGGAATTCCACTTGGTATATGCTTTGCAACTCTAGGATTCAATCCTAGGCCTCTGCATTACTATAGTAAGGTAGAACCTTATGCCACCGGGCCCATGTCTCAAGAAGGCATGACGTTACAAGAAAGACTGTTGAGCACAGAGCGGACTTTTGAGACGCTTTTTCTGTTACGAACTTCACATAGCCCAGAAATAAACAATGAAGAATTTTTTAGAAAATTTGTAGGAAGTACATGACAATGTGATTGATTGTTGTTAATTTTATTTAAATTTGAAAAATAATATAAAAGCTTGTCAATCAATGAAACTGGTTAACTTGCACTGCTGGACGGAATCGTAATTATATCAGAGCCAGACAAATGGTCTCTCCTCGGCTGCATTGAAACTAGTGGTTTATAAACTGCAGCCCTTCTGGCTTTTGCTTTATCTATCGCAGAATGAACGTGAATTCTTGTCTGCTTCCTTGCAGAACTGAGTAACTTCTTTATGTACATGTATAACACTTTCCACCATCCAATCAAAAGCCACCAAGCAATTATTCTAGGCGTAGCCCATTTTCTGCTTTTTCTACCACCGACACTGAATTGCAACACCAAGACAATGATGATTATTACAACAAGCACAAATGACCATGTTCTTGTTCCGTAGTTTAAAACCTTTTGGATTTGATGTTTATGAAGCGCTTGTTCTCCCCATTTCACCCCTCTCCTTTCCCAAGCGAGAAATATGTTTTCATGGTCATGTTGGTGAGGAAAGTTATCTTGAGCGTGAGCTTCATTGTTGGCTTGGAGCTGGAGACAGACAAAAGGGTAAATACACTGAGGACAACAAAGACGTTTCATAATTGTATTGCATCTGTTGAACATTGAATTTTGAGGGTTCTGACAGGATATTCAATGGCCACATTCGATCTAAATGTGTCTGTATCGAAAGTTACACTTCTCGTGTTTAAACCCCATATGCAACTACTCACCCAGATACATACACAGACTAGTCTGTGAGGTCATCATGTGATCTCCTAATACATCTAAAAATTTCACCGATATCATAGATGTAATTTATTGCACATAATACTCAACATAAATACTTTTGAATTGATTTGCTCCGACCCAACTTCTAAGGTCAGGAAGCGCTGCTTGGTGTGGCTGAATAAAATTATCTACGAAATATTGAAACAAACCTGACGTTGAAGAAACTCTCCATCGGAAGATAGACTGACGTCAATAGAAAGTAGATTTGGATGTTTCCACACATTAAGAGATGTAGAATTGTTGAGAGGTTTAGTAGAAGTCATCTTCAATTGTGGACAGAATGGCATATCAGTGTATTGTGGTTGTCCAATTTGATAATCCAAGACCTTAATAGTTTATTTTAACATCAATTGGTGAAATACATCAATAAATATTCAATCTGTGGCTACAGCTTTGGCACTTAGCCAATAGTGTTTTTAGTCCGGTATCATGATATATCAGACTATATGCAGCGATGGGACTTGAAAAAAATAGGCTAGAAATAGTATCAGGAACTTAACTTAGGATTTGAAGCTACTAAAATTTCTGATACCTCCAGCCCAATCTATTATTCGTGGTGAGCTTGACTCCAAATCTCGAGACAAACAAAGCACGTACACCCCCCCAGAATTGGTTCAGTGTGTGTTTTCTGAATAATATTCAACCTCAAATATACCGTATTGATAATCAAATGGGGAAGAAGTAATTTCAGGTAGCAATTACTGGTGTAGCCACCGACACGATGGAGGAAATAGTCACCTGGAAATGTTGCACCATCTCTTCAAACCATAATTTTTCTTTGAGACTTCCTTTGGGCTAATTTAAATAAACACAAAAAAAAACTTTAACAGGTTACCTTTGAATACTTGAATAAATGATTTCCATCCATTCTCCTGGGTAACTGATCATTTTCAACAGGCGGTAAAGGTCTCGATGCTTGCTTGTTGCTTTCAGATGTATCTTGACTGTTGCCCAACCCAAATGCTGGTGAAATAATGCCCTGAATATGCAAGCAGCTGTCTAGTTTTTTTTTACAAAATATGAAAAACAGTATTCAGTCACCAATTCGAGGTAGACATAAGGGCCGAATACTAAAATTTATTTTACAATATTGCAAAAAATCCACATTTCTTCTAACTCAATCAGTTTTTAAGATTTATTTTGAAAAAAGGGTGAAGTGTACCCCCCTTCGACTATGCTAAAAAAGGCTGAACCTGATACATGCGTTTCTCTACTATATTTCTGTGATACAAATATTGGGTGCGCAAAGGAATAAAAATTAAGGCATAACTGGGCACTGTGTAGTAATGTTACTCACATGAGAAGTATACTGAAGAAATGCATCCAACAACCAGAAACATTCTTTTACTTTATGGGCAGTATCCAAGCAATTGGAATCGCCATAAATTGCTAGTCTTCCACCATTTTCCACCTAAAACAAGGTTAAATGAGCAAATCGAAAGCTTCTTATTTTTGAAAGTAGAATAAATATGAAATTAAAAATACATTTATTGGATCTCTCCTTCATTACTTCCTGTTTTGATATGTATGTGGTCATTACCATTACCACAAGTATTCTTGTATGAGATAGTATTAGTGAGAAATAAGAATAACATAATCTATTTCGAAGAAATAGCAATTATATCTGTGGACTATGACTCTTAATAATTTAATAGAAAGATATTATGTTATACTTGCGCTACATAATATATAATCATTAACAGATGGCCGAGCAGATAGGTTAAACTGGAGAGATTCCAGCCCTACCATAAACAGTAGCTGCTTGTACGGGGCCTTATTCACAGAGAAAGTCACAAACAAGTGTTATAAATAATGTAAGGCGCTCCCAGAAGTATGTGTACTAATATGAAGGTAACTAATTTTGTGCGCCATTCTTTACATCAAGTTGTGTAAACGAACCTATGGGCAGGGGCATATTCAATTGGCTAACACAGACAGTCTCTGAACTCGTACTAGAACTAAAATAAGTAAAATCGAGATAAAATTATGTCATAACCCTAACCTGGTAAGTGGTAAACACACTACGGGAATACTCGATGTAATATCACAGATATGCAAAAAATTCACCAACCTGATGCAAACCAAGTATCGGCACTTCTTTGACCGGTTCATCTTTTCTTCCAAGAAGAATTTCCACAGCTTGATCATGCAAAGTTCTGCCGACAACCAATCCACCTTTATCTACAGGAAACCTAGCCAATGCCGTACCAGATGCATAGTACATCTCATGATTTCCGAAAGTGAAATCGCCCTCGAAAACACGATCAGAAAATGCGATCCCATATGGTGCAAGCAGGCTATTGAGAGAAGGTATATTGCTTCCTCCAGTCTCAGGAATCCACCAACGTCTTGTGTTTTCATCGAAGAAATTTACTTTCTCCATGACAGTTGTATTGTACCAATCACTGAATACTATAAAAAAATTAATTTTTGTTCACAACCATATGTTCAAAAAATTTAGTTTGAATAAACTTCAAATTTATTGCTGTCAGAAAAACTTTTATTTAGAAAATTATTATTGATGAAATAATAATATTTTTCAAAAAAATGCCCATTTTGCATAGCAATCATTATATATATCAAACTTTTGCAAAAGAGAATATACAATTCATCATTAATTATTGTCCCAATACATGAATTTCGAAAACATATTGTTTTGTTATTCAGAATTCTAGAAAAACAAACCATGTTGTTTCACACTTATACTAGCATATAATCACAAGCTTGAGTCTCAATTAGATTAGTATTTTTAGCTCTCATTTGGAGGTTTTGACAACTTTCCTTATCCCCCTGTACATTTGTCTTGTTAATTTTTTATACCAAAGCGGAGTTAAAAAAATCATCTTTACTTGTATCTAAACTTTCCTACCTATAACATTCAATCCTTCATCAAACACATCTTTCTTCAACTTCTGGATTTCACTTGGAAAGAATTCTTCTTCAGGATCAATAATAAGCAAAGCACCATACTGTGAAGCGTCAAAACAATTGTATGTTCCTCCTAAAACCTCAATATAATATCCACCATCTCTTAAATGTTGATATAAATCTCGAAAATTTGTGTGTATATGATCACCATTCCAATCCAGAGGATCATTCTTCATTCTCAAGTTATCTCTCGGGAAGTAACCTGAAAATTTTGGTTTAATTTACATATTTACAATCAAGGTAATGGTATATTTTATAAGCACTGATCAATTACTTATATTGACCTATATTTATTCAAAATACATTTAGCATTTGTGAATGTGTATAATTTGTTATGACAGGTAAAAGTTGCACAACTTTGCATGTGAGCAGAGTAGAACAGGGATGGGCAACATACGATGAGATTTTGACCGGTCGCTGACTGTACATCAGTCTTATGATATTACATTATTACACTTTTAGTACATTATGATAAATTCATTATGTGTTTTTTTGGTCTCTATTTTTTGTGAAGTTTAAACTTTACTCTAAACACGATTTATTACTTTCTCTCTTGCAACAGCTAATAAATATGTGATTAAGATATTGAATACTATTCATGTTAGAATCCGGCCCACCGACTAGAGAAGTTGCCCACCCCTGGAATAGAACGATAGGTCTCATACTCTAATAAGTAAGTAGATCTCGTTGGCTACGCTAGACCAGTCATTCTCAGATATTCATAATTTGTGTGCCTCCCCATCAAGGACTCTCAACACCCATGGCCCCTTGCCCTTCTTTAAAAATACCAAGTTTTACTCACACCTTCCCATCGTTTAGTTTTTATAATAAAAAAGCTAACATACGAAAGAAAAAAAATAAATGCACAACAGTCGAAGAACTAAACAAATTGCAGTTATTTAACTCTATGTAGTCATCAAGAATGGTGCCAAGTGGAAACCTTTGCCCGCCCTGTTTGAAAACTAGCCATTGAGATTTTGACAAACTTTTTCTTTTACTACCAAAACACACCCGATAAATCAAGAGTTTGTTCGGAACAGGCAGAGAAAAATCTAAGTTGGTTTAATAATATGTCATTCTATTAGCTTCATCAGTTTCTCTTTTCTTAATAACCAACACCTCATTATTAATTTAATCAACTAAAATATTTTGTTATTGAGTAAAAACTTGATCCATTATTGCTATATATTTTAAAGTAGATTATTTCACAAAGTTTGCATTTCATTCATTATAAAAACACAAAAAAAGCTTGTAAACCTTGGATATGTTATTTATGTTAAAGAAATAACTTCATCAAATATTTTGGATAAATTTCATCAGAATGAAATTTTTTTTTTTGTGATTGGCATTTCTAATCATTTCACTCCAAAACCATAAAAAGAGATTATTTAGTATGTTCTGTTAATCCAAGCAAGCACTTAAATAATACTGTATATACTTTCCAATGGTGTCATTGAAATGTTGACAACTGTTTACTTTCGGTTCATTTTCAGACTATCTTTTGAGTCATATAATGTTTGTAATTATAGTTAGTTTTTCACATGACTTATCAATTAAAGAATCCCACAAATCATATGATCAATAACCATATTGTTTCGCATGTTTTTTATAAGGATTAAATAAAAAGTACTGTATAAAACATGAATTATCATGATCAAAACAATAACGTTAATGAGACAAAATGATTTTTGATATTTTCACATCATGGCATCGAAACCTTTTCTTGAGAAAGCCTCAATCAGACACTAAATAATACAAACAATCAAAAAGCATTATTGATTTTTGTTTGTAATAGCGTTTTTGTCATTTCTACTTGACAATATAGTAAACTTATATTTTTAACTCAAATTTTGGTTATGTTCGTTTCAATTATAATACTGCTGCTTCAAAATATAAATAACAGAAGCAATTTACCTGGCGGATATCTCAAATTATGAAACTGATCCCACAACAATCTCTTCTCTCTTGGAGGAGTTGGAATAATTTTCACTCGAATTGGTAATTTGAGAGTACTCGTGATTTCACTCTGAGGTCCATCGTCATTTTCAGTAGCAGGTGATGCAATTGTAACTTCAACATGTCCTTGTGCCTCTCCCTCCCATTGAGCAGCTTTCTCAGATACAGAAAGAGAGAGAGAAAGATATCCAGACCATGGCCAAAGTGATTCAGAATGAGAAAAGCCAACCTGGAATTATCGTTTATTAATAACTCATTTGAATAATGATTGTAATGAGTGTTCTACTAGTTTGTATGTATGTCCTTACTAAAAAAAGTTATGTTGCTATTTATGTGGAAAACTATCATTCTGACCTGTACGTACCACAAGTATGCTTGAAAGAAAAATGCTTGGAAGAAATGGTGTTAAGAGTTCATAGGAACAAAAGTGTGAAATGCCTTATACCTTAACAGTTAGGCTATGCTTTAGCTAGAGCTCGTTAAAACAAGTATTACATGGAATGTGATTTTACAAATTTATTATTAAAACGATTTCAAGAAATGAAAGTCGTATTAAAAAAATACTTGAGATAAAAATTAAAAAATCAAAAAAACTGTAAGATGTAGCCTACATACATGAAAAATGCGGCACAAAGTTATTTTCAATTTTTCCAGTATTACAAGAATTTTCGTAATGAATACCAGTCTAAGTAAGAACATGGTTTTGTGGATGTCAATTAAACTGAAAATCGAAGAAGAAAAATTTCAAATCAATCATTGTTTTTGTATATAGGCTAAGTTAATGATAAGAGAAACAAGACACTTGAGATAGATACTCAGTTTTATACATGTATAATATTACCAGTAATTAATCAACATCTATCTATACTACTAGGTCAAACTATAAAAGAATGCTTATCAATCATGAATCGGTAAGTCTAAGGTGCAATTTTTTTTTAAATCTGTCAGAATACCAGTATCTTACTAGAAAGGAAAAATAAATACAAGAAATATATTTTTGCCGAATTGAAGTTTTGATGATGAAATTTATAAATATAATATTTGTTTCACCAGCAATGTAAAAAACCAGACCTTTTTTGCGAAAAATGGAGACGTAAATTATATTGACCATTCTCATTACATAATATGCAATTCAAGAGTCTTGCTGCTATTATAGTATTTTTATTCCTGCTACAGCATCCTTGCATTATTCGCATATTCATCCACCAGCGCAAAGGCATTGAGAAAGGATTGGGAGTCAGTCTCACGCAACCTCTACTAATAATTCTTATTACATATTCAAAACAGATGTATGTCTTTGCAGCATCTTCCATAATAAGGTACTGGTATCATATATTATGTAACTAACTAGCCTATTCATTGACAATCATTGAATCATCTATAATCCCAATCAAAAACACAGATTACCTCAAGATATTCTCCATATTTGTCTGTGTATGGTCTCCATATTGGTTTGTCCTTAATCCAACCAGTTACAGACATACCATTTAGAATGGTTATGTTTACGATGGTAGGAATTGCACCATAATACATGGGCTGAGTGCAATATGGCCACATGTAAGGACATTCAGAGAAATCTATGTAGCTTGGTGTAAGACTGGCTTGTGGTGTGTAGCTGTTGAGAATCTGCATGTAATAAAGAAACATATGATTTATGTTTATTTCCTCGTAATGTAACAAAGATAAGTTGACAGTTTTGTAAGTTTTCTATCCATGCATTTTGATTGTTAATACTGGATTACAATTCTCCTCCCTAACAGAGACTTGTAACTGGGCAAAATGTAGTGGTTGGCAAAATTTTTAAAGTCACGACATATTTACTTTCAGCGGTAGAAATCACATTGCATTCGAAAGAAAGTTTGTCTTTATTAACATTCAAATTACAATTTACAGCAAGGTAAAGTTCAATAATATAGTATTTGTACATTTATTCAAAACTATATACTACCTTGTTTTGTGCACATAAACAATTGTAACAAGGATAAATGCCAGGCAAACATAGTCAGTCAACCTTCTCACTCAAATTTTATCACTTTTATTTTATCATTTATTAGGGAAAGGATTAGTATTTCGTTGACGAACAGTTTAGGACCAACTCAGTTATATGATAACATGGAATCCTAACCTAAGAACAATTTGTAACTTATGAAACTTTTAATCAACGAAAACCTTCAGGCTGAAATCTTCGTTGAACAAGTTTACTCAAAGCATACAAGCATTGAACTAAAAGTGAAATTAGAAATCATAAAACAAACATCGAGTTTGAATGTCATTCCCACATAGGGTGTAATAAATTGTTTGGGCAAGGCTGAATCGGAAAGATTCCGGTCCAATATATCGGTGGTAACTTCTTACATATCAGTGGAAGCTTACACATGATAACCATAGTAACTAGTGAAATACTACTATGAATAAGTTCCACCTTGTATGCTTTAATAAGATCCAGCTTTCCTTGACCTTGTTCAAACATATTTACACCTGGTAACCTCTTTGCTGATGCCATCAGAGCCTGAAACAAACCAAATAATAAATCTTGAAATAATCTCCAGTCATTTGCTATAAGAGTGATTACAGACAGAAATACCAACCAGGTTTATTATTTTGTTCTTAGTAAAATATTATCCAGTTGTCCAATTGTTGACAAAAAACAACTGGATAACTGTAAGGAATTATGAGATAATTATGTGTGAGACAATTGTTGAACCCCTCAACATCACAGGATGGCTCATAATACTGCTGACTGGTCAAGTCTCCTGCAACTATCAAGTCCATGCAGTTGGAACAAATACCCATAAACTATTTCCATAATTAAAATGAAATGGTAACCAGAGAAAAGGCAATGATATGCCATATGATTATCCTCTCTCTCAGATAAATGTTAAATCCTCCTAATATACACCGGTACATCATTTCTAGTATAAAATACGGGCATGCAAATTTAGATATTTTACACATCAGAAAGGACCAATTAGACCTCTAATACACACTTCCTATGGGTAAATGAATATAATTCAACATAACAGTTTAAACAAAAAAGTTCTCTCCACCTGTTTCATAGAAGCAGGATTAACCATTCCTCGTTTTTCGGGGGGAACCGAACTATATAGCAGAGCAACAGCACCAGCTACTACAGGTGAGGCCACACTTGTTCCCGATAAAGATCTAAAATATAGTGTAAGATATTTAATATTAGAAAATGTCATTTTGTCTATAAACCTTCAAAATAGTTTTTAGATATCAATATTTTTGAATAAAAAATATTGCTATAAATTAGACTAAATCTATTTTGGTAGAGTTGGTACATTTTGCAATGGAGTAATGGAATTGTTAACTGACGCCATCTTTTTTGTGTCTGAATACATGGATAGATACTAGTCCTTTCAAATGTAATTTATATTAAACAACATGTCCAAAGGCTTGTTGAACAATAAAGATAAATAATAGTGAACATCAAATTTTATTAACATAAAATAAATAATAAATCGAGAAGCTCATTGTTAGTTCTTTTCCTCTGAATTTTGAACATCCGTTTTCATATTATTTGTAACTTATTTGAGAGAAAAGTAAACTACACTTGATTTTATATATAAAATGCAACGTCTACCTGCAGCCACCATTCAAACTCAGACCACGAACTGACGAACCATATGTAACAACGTCAGGTTTAATTCTACCATAACCAGCAGGTAATTCCCACGTTGTCATACCACGGGAGGAAAACCTTGCAATGTTATCTTCATAATCTATCCCTCCTACTCCTATGACATCCATCTGATCAGCAGGATTGTTCAGTGTTCCTATGTTATCAAAAATCTATTATGTTTAAAATGAAGGAAGGGAACACTGAAAAATAAATTTCTTCAGGCATATAAACAGATGATAAAAACAGCCAGAGCGTGTAAACTTTCATTTTACTATATTAAAATTGTATAGCGAATGGAAACAATTGGAATTGGTATTACTATTATCAATAACTGTTCATTAAAAAGGAAAAACTCCTTATTACTTCGCTTGACCTAAATCTAAAACTTTTTCCAATTGTTCGCTAACAAGTTGAGAATTTACTATGATAAACACAAAATAACTTTTCGGCCCAACCTAAATTTACACTATCAAATAGTTTAGATCAGGGGTCGTCAACCTACAGCCAACGAAGTAACATAATCCAGCCCGTGACGCTTCACTGAAATATAGGCTAGTAACAAAACAGCTATTTTGACGATTATATTTTTCACGTTACACATTAATTGTGAGATGCATGTAGACTAAATTATATTATAATCTAACAAGTTTAAAATTCACAATTACTCGTTTAGTGAGCCTATAATTTACGGTAATTATAATCAGACAAATGGCAACAAAACGCAGAAAAGTTGATGCTAAGTGCGAAGGGTTCAATTGCGCCGAAAATGCAATGCAATGAGAAAATAATCGATATTCTATTCGAGAGATCACTGCTTCATTTTAATTATAAAAAACATCATCCGTTCGGTTTTCAACTTTCTAAAAATATGTGCGACCCGCCAATGACTTGCAACCCTTATTTTGGCCCGCGAGCGACAAAAGGTTGCCGACCCCTGGTTTAAATGAAGCACACATAAAATATCATTATAAATTTAAACATTTAAATTTAACATGTAAATTTAGACATTTAAACAAGCCCATTGAATTATTCTATTGCACGTAATGGCTACTGGTCCAATATACAGTGTGTCCATGAAGTGCGATATCAAATTACGTAAAAAAAGAACTTCGTAGTTGATACAACTAATGATGAGAAATCAGGCATATAATAGTGTATTGAATGAGGTAAAATAACTCATAACTAAAACTTAAAAAAACTGGTTAAGATTGTGGGCAATTTGTAACAGAACTTTATAAAAACCCTGTACAAATACAAACAAAAAATTAAACTAATATCATTCTGTGTAAACTAACCGTAGAGTGGACCATCATTTCCAATTGCTGATATCATGATTATTTTATTGGCTGTTAATTCCCATACTTTATCAACAAAAGGTAAATCCATAAAATCTGGTCCACCGATACTCAGATTTAAAATATCAACTTTTTTTAATATTGCATAGTTGAAAGCATCAAGAAACCATGAGGTATAGGAAACCTGAAAAAAGATGAAATAATGTCTGAAATTTTCATTAAAATGAACAAATCATTGGCAAAATACTAGGTACTTCCGAAGTATGTGAACCAAGATGGCCAACACCGGAATGTAGTATGTGTACCAGGTGTCACTTGGCTAGTCCCGAAAATCGTAATCAAACTAAAACGAGGAAAATTGGAATAAAATTGAATAAGGATTAAAAAATACCATAGCAATTTCTTCAATCTTTTGAGTACACAAAATATGAAATCACCTGGGGCATTAGTTGAGGAGGAAAGAAATTTTTGTATATGTTTTGTTTGAAATTGTATATGTTCAATTGATAATTTTATATCATTTGTTAAGGAAGCTTGAAATTTAGATTTTCTCACTTGATTATTTGTGAAAACACGAAAAATATAAAGTTCTGCATTCGGTGCTAATCCTGGGCATTCTTTTGAAGTACTGCCAATTACGCCTGCAACAAAAGTGCCATGACCCAATCCATCATTCAACATTTTTTCATTAGTCCAATTAGTACGTTCTTTCACATATTTAAAATTACTATTGTGTTCTGGTAATCCAGTATCAAATATTGCAACTTTGATCCCTTGACCAGCGAATCCAGAATTCCACAGCCAATCTGCTCGCAAAACCTAAACATAAATAACAAGAATTAAGATGTTTGATGCAAACAGAGCATAGTGGCTAAGTGGTTAGAGTGTTTAGTTTGAATATGTTGGTATTATAGGTTCAAATCCCAGTTCCACCACGCCACCTGGGGCATAATAAATTGGGAACACAATGTGGAACATGAATGATTCTGGTCCTTCCGATAAATAGGAGGTCCTTGCATAGGGACTTGCACAGGGCTAATAGATGAATGAAAAGAGCGAATGATTGATGCATGTAAAGGGTGGCTGCTGGACCAGTTCAGATACATTGCATGTAACAATTTTGCTGTTTGCAATTAGGCTTTCAGTTTGAATGAAATATTTAAGTACATGGGTGGTAAAGATAATAAGGTAAAACTAACATATGGGACATAGATGAGCTGGAATAAAAAATCCATGAATAAATAAGCAATGACTACATAAAAAATACATAAAACATCAAAGTATCTATTTGATTAGTTGAGGCAAGGTTGAGTCAAAATTGTAGATTTGCAAATACAACATGGTTTATCAAATACAAAAGTTGGGAAATGGCAATATACTTGGGCTTACCATACCTCCCGACTAAGCTGAGACAGCCGAGTTATGCAAGCATGATAGATATTTTCTTTAATTTGATAGATATTAAAACAAAAGTTCAAGTGTTCTAATAAGTTAAACAAAAAATTGAGGAAATTTAAATGAGATTTAAAGCTAATTTTAATGTTCATAATCTACCCAAAAAGATATTGAAAAAGTTCAAAGTATTACAAAGCCGTCAGCATTATAATAAAAAGCCGTCAGCATTATAATAAAACATGCTTTGTTTAGAAGTCATATGCTATCTTAAGCAAACAAGAACTTGGATCAAACAGAACATAATACCTATGAATAATACTTGTTTGTTTAGTAAATGCTGAGCTTGAGATTTAAATGGGATTGTTAACATAAGTTAACAATGAGGTTAACAATTAGGGAAATGATTTTTGTAAGCTTATGTTGACTTGAGACCTCAGCTACATAGAATATGGTTTAAAACCCATTATATGTTTTAGATGTTTCCCCGAATATCGATTTCATTGTTCATTTCCTTAACAATCGGACACTTCTTTTGCTCAGACAGATATTCAAGCGTGGTAGTAAACATTGTCTCTTTTGGTAATTTAGCGTGTTATTTGTCATTTTTAGGTTGTGTTTCCAACAAATAGTTATAAATCAAAGTCTGCTATCAATAAATATTTATATATATACTTGATCAAATGGGACATGTGGACAAAATATGCTCACATCATAACCTGCTAGTTAGGAACATTAGAAAAATCCAATAACAATACATGATGCGACCAAACCTGGGTGATCTGCTTTGGTAATGCCCGAAGTAGATGTCTAGTATGTACTGCATGTGATTTGTCAATTTGTTCATCTTCTTTGCTGGCAAATGTTCTTTTATGAAATGTTTTAACAGGCTCTGTCAAATCTTCATCAACTGCTTGCAATGACTTCAAACTTCTTATAACAATTCTTTGTGGTGTAATATGTTCAACTCTGGATTCTAACTTCAGAATCTCAATTGCCTAAAAAATAACAAAATTGAGTAATTTTCAAGATGAGTGCAATAAATCGAAGTTTATTTCTCAAAAAAAAATACTTATACCTAAAAATAGGCAAAGGAATTAATTAAAATGGAATTCAATCGGATTCCAAATTATTCAATTAGACGTTAAGAGATGCTATTTGAAACAACCATTGTTCTTTTGAACAAGAGGATTATTCCAGTAGGAAAAAACACATCAGGACAGTGAAGTCAAGGAAAAGTCATACCCAATTAAAAACCATTTTAAAAAAGGCTCAAGTTCCAACTCTGGACTCCCATTAGGACTCTGAAAATTTTTTGACTATAAAAATACTTTAGCATATTCAAGTCTCCTTTAATTGTCTATTGAGAATACTAAGTCAATGCGTTCTAGTCTTTCAAATATAACCAGTTAAGTTTGAAATTTTGACTCATGGAAATTCAAAATTCTTGACTCAGTTTTAAAGTACAATTCCGTCTCGTAACCCTGGCGTTAGTTACCAGAAGTACTGTAAACAAAATAAAAATACCATACTCTGATACTATTGGCCAATACATAGATGGGTAACAAGACATAAGAATTTTTCTTTTACATTACTTGAATTATATGAAGCGGAGCAATGACAGAATGAGTATTCAATAATGCTTAATCAAAGCCCTGCCGATGATACATACATAGAAGACATTTACTGTATTGTTAGTAAAGAAAAAACTCACTGCTGATGCTGAAATTACTTACTTTGTTTGCTAACAATGGATTGATTTGTAATACATCAAAATCGCTGGGATATTTTGCTGCTGGATTGTGTCGCTCAATAATACCAAAATTTGATTGTGAAATATCAGCTTTCATTAAAGCGGAGATGATGATTTTCTTCCTGTATTCAGGTGTGTAATATCCATCAAACATCAGAATGTATTCATTTTTGATTTGTGACGTATAAAATGGTTTTGTATTTGTGAAGGATTTGTCAAAAACAGGTTTGTGTATATTGCGTGATTCTGCATTGTTTTCATGTTTGAAACCGCCTTTTAAGGTCAAATTATTGGATTGATTGTCATGCGCTACGTTACATATACTTTTCACAATTTTCCTTCTATCCAATGGCATATTATTCAAACCATTATGATCATCAAAGTTAACTTCTTGTACAGTCTGGATTTCACCAACAGAATATTCCATAAATCCATGAGATTTTTTCGCTTTTAAAAAAGCTTTTTTTTCATGTGAGTATGAAAAATTTAATCCATGATTTTGCATAGCGGCGGTACAATTTTTCAATAAATTGCAACTTATGATTAACAGTACACTCAAAATAGCACATTGCATATACTTCCCATCCAACATATTGCAAGTGAATTATTTCACAAGCATTCAAGTGTCAAGTAAATGATGTTAAAGATTACGGTACATCAATCGATTGCCATCAGTATTTTTCCGCTATAGAATGCCTAAACAGTCAAGTGAGAAAATACTATTTCAGTATTTCTACTTGGTGTAACAGTCAGACAGTATTGTCGCATTAAATTAACATTCTAAAATATATGCATCAGATGTAGTGAGCATAACAAATTCAGATGATAGCTTTATATGAAAAATGCAACATAGGATTTACGTATTTATCCCGGGGGAGAGGAAAACCGATGGGAGGAATTATTCATATAGCGAACCACAGCCTCTCGTCCAATTACCAGTCCATGTCGGGCAAGGAATTAGTTAGTCAGTTAATACTTATCGATCTTAAGATCGGTAAGTATGTTGATAGGTATTTGTCTGTTAGATGAAGGGCGAGGTTGAATCTGCTCCAAATTTTGCATGTGCATTCATCATATCTCGAACCAGAAGCCTATTGATATTGGATGAATTACGTCGTATAATTAGCGAGTTATTAAACAATTAGTGATGGGACACGCGGTGTCACTATAGAATCATGAATCGAAACCGGTGTTTCGATCGATAAGTCTTCAGTCACCGACCGATATTCTCTTTTGTTTCTCAGAAGCATCAGAGCATGGACTTGAGGGAGCCGTAAACAACCAGCGGTTACTGGGTTACGTAAACTGGGTCAAGGCAGGGAGGAGTTCAGCAATCCTCTCGCACATAATTAACCCTGTATGGGATTTGAACCCGCGCAGGGTAATCAGAGGTGCGATGGTGAGCATTACACTTAGCACGATGAATGCTCCATTTGATTAGACTACTAAATTAGGACCACTAAACTTATATCCCCCTTCCCCAGATTTTTACCAGCAAATTGTGAATTTTATCATTGGTCAGTACCGTATTACAGTATTACATTATTAGCAATTACTGTATCAATAATATTAATAGAAAATAGGCATATACGGCAGTCTGGCAGTAGAGGTACGGTACCGTTATCACCTCTTCTTGTTTATACATAGGCCTACTGGTTATTTTTAAAATACCAACCGTGCACCGTAGTGATACCGGCTGAACTACGACCAAGTCATGGCCATTCCTTCCCACACCCCCGTATTTCGCTATTTCTGTATTGCTGAATTACAGTCAGACAGTTCGTCGCGAGCATTCGTCCCGCGTGTGGTTGAACTAAAGCTACCCTACTCGATACCGATATATATAATTGCAATTATGCTATTTGATTTAGACTACAACTAATTTTTAGAAGCAACTAAAAAATGGCAAATAACACACAAAACCACGAAAACGAGGCAATTTTTGGTGCTTACACCCATGTTTGAATATATGCCTGAACGAACGACAGAACGAGGCGTCTGAGCTATAAAACAAATTGCAATTGTTACGTCAATGTTGACTTGTTGCTGACTGGTCATTGTGACCGAAATAAACTAAGAAATGCAAACTCTTGAGTCTGAAATCCCCGAATCTCATATTTGAGGTTTAATGAACCTTTCTCCGACCTTTGACCCCCGAAAAATTCTTGCTATACTTTTTCATTGCAAAATTTTCGGGGCTATTTTAAGAGTGCTTTTGCGAGTTGGCGCCTGTAAATGGGGTATGTGTTTCAAACCATCATTATGATTCATCGCATACAACAATCTGTTTTTTAAAAGTACCGGTAAGGAATTTTAGCTAAGTCTAGGACCTAGGTAATGTAATGTTTAGGAGGTAATGTTTACGACCACGCTTAAAAATCCGTCTAAGTGAGAAAAGTGTCTGAGCGGATGCGAAAAGGCAGCATTGTTACGTCACTACGTTACGTCACTAAACAAGGAAGTCGATGCCCGGTGAAAGGTCCCCGGGGGAGAGGAAAGCCGATAAGATAGCTTAATCATATGGCGAACCACGGCCTCTCGCCCGGTTACCATTCCATGACGGGTATGGGGTTAGTTAGTTATTTGTTTTTCGGAAGCATGGACTTGATATTCAAGAAATTTAGTTAGCAATTAAGATTTGCTAGTTGTGGCACTATGTTATTCATTCGAATCCATGCGCCGGAAGAAACAAATAACTATCTGGCTAACTAATCCCATACCCGACATGGATGATAATGGTGTTATATATGGATGTATAACACCATAAATTTCTTTAAGATTTGTATCTTGATCTTCGGTTCTCGTGTGATTTATTCTTCGAAATTTGTGCGAACCCTCTCCCAACTATTATAGCCTATATGTTAATCGATTTCAAATATATATGTTGATTTGGAAAAGAAAAACGGTTATCATTTCTTCAATATATACTAGTAATCTGACGACATGATACCTTCAGACTTCCATTGTTTTAGGTACAGAACTCAAAATTGACAAATTCCAATATATTTTTCTATAGACTCTCCCGTTTTCTTTTAAATTTGAGTTATCAAATTGTGTTTTATTTATTCATGCTAATTTACTTCCGTATTGTCTGACGTTGTTTGATGTCATCTGCCTGCCTAAACTCAGCAAAAATGGTGTCCCTGTCTCAATGACTTTGATAGTCTTTCCTCGTCCAAATATAGTACGTTTTTTAAGATGAAATATATATTTAATATTTTTTGTTCTTATGTACAATGTTTGGCAATGTGGCAGTGTCTACCGTTTCTTGTAAACACCAACGACAATAAAATATTTTTTATTAATTGAGTTTGCAATTCCCTAAAAATTACAACGCAAATTTGTCAAGTTTTTCCTGCCTCGCTATCGTATTAAGTTGCTTCAAAGGGAACTTGGGTTTCGAGCTCAGCGAAAACTTTGGCGAGTTATAACGAATTTGTTTGCCGACTAGGCAACTAACTAAGCATTTTAGCAAAGAACTTTACCGTGGAAAAAGCATGTGGAGCCCCGTAGGATAATTTGGTTCGTTATTGTATTACAGACCCAGTAGACAATTGAAACGTAGTCAATATAATGATGTATTGCAACAAAATCTTTTCCGACGCTCGAAGCGATGCGTTTATCCGCAGTGAATGATTAAAATGATATTGTTCACTTTCATTGTTCAACCAAATTAATGTATATATATAAAGTGTGAGTACACATTGCCAATTCAATCAAATAATTATTTGTAAATATCAATGTGATCGACTTCGCAGAATAAACATTACAATGGCATTTCAACTTCGTCAACAATAGATATAAACGCAGATTCGAACAATTCAACTGAACCTGATATAAAAGACTTTTTTTCTTCAAGTGCAAAAATGAATCAAAATGTACATCATCATTAGCGAATGCTACGTAATAATTGATATTTATTTCTTCATATCTTCTTTAAAATTGGATCCAGCGCAACCATGCTAACGTCATCAACAAGAGAGAAAAAATCTTTTCCATCCATTGAATCAGTGGGGGCTTGCACAAGGAAATTCTAGAATTTGGCACCTGTACATAGAACGAATAGAATAGGATAGGATTTACATATTTATCCCGGGGGAGAGGAAAGTCGATAAGACGGCTTAATCATATGGCGAACCACGGCCTCTCGTCCGGTTACCGCGTCCAGTCGGGTATGGGATTAGTTAGCCAGGTATTTGTTTTCGGAAGCATGACTTGATGGTGGGGGGAGCCGTAACCGACCAGCGGTTACGTGAACCACGCCTGCGGCGGCGAGAGGTTCAGCAATCTCGCATTATGATCATCACCGCATGGGATTCAAACCTGCGATCCCACGAAGGGTAATCAGAGATGCGGTGGCGAGCGTATTCCTAACGCTTAGCACGATGCGCCACACCGCCGAGCCGAATAATTTTATAATCCTTTGTCATATGCAATAAACTGATATTTAATGTAAGCCTACCTTTTCGAGTGGAAAATATCTGGCATGATGATGTTCAATCACTGGATTATTGTCTGCTCGATTGTAAGCACATAAGAAAGCCCATCTGCGATCATTGCTGGAATTTTGCTCACTCCTATGCATCACATTACTGATGACAAAATAATTAGAAATTAATGGTTGTTTGAATGAAGGAAAAATGAATAGGCTACTTTTATTATAATCTTTGTGTTTACCTGTGGAAAAATAAGGCATCTCCTGGTTCCATTTCTGCCTGCAGTACCGTTAATCTCTTCAATATCTCATCCAATCTTTCTCCTTCGATACCAGCTTGATCTCCTATTCTTGTATGATCTATTCTTCCACATTTGTGAGAGCCTTTCACTACCTATCAAATGACACAATAACGGCTCATTCTAATGAACCAGAATAATTAACATGAAATTTCGGCAAACTTTCAACAATGACGTTGCAAGAGTCCAACAGTCTACTGTTTAATAACGCAATAAATTAAGAACACAAAAGACACGGTTGGTCAAAACGCAATTTTGTTTGGAGATGCTGTTGATCATATAACTTCGTAAAGGATTGTCAATTTGCAAGGTATAATAAATAATTCCTATATACCGATAATATTGAAATATCGGCTGCAAACATTTATTAACTGAAACTGAATTACAGGAATTGGTACTCCTGAAGTATGCGCGCCAAGATGTCGCACAAACTGAATCCTAAGCTGGTACACAACCTGGGTTCAGGTTATGCGCCATCTTGGTACGCATACTTCAGGAGGTCCCAGGAATTTTACTTCTTCCGAGTCACCTATCCCTTTACGTAACAAATATTTTAAGATTCAAGATTATGAAATATACCTAAGAATTTTGTAATATTTTATCTGTTATCTTCTATCGCAGGGGTCGGCAACCTTTTTTTGGCGCTCGCGGGCCAAAATTAAGGGTTGTAAGTCATTGGCGGGCCGCACATATTTTTAGTTGATAACATAACGGATGATACGTTTTGTAATAAAAATCAAGCAGTGATACATCTTTCGAAGAGAATATAGATTTATTTTCTCATTGCATTGCATCTCAAAATATTCCATTTCAATATTCGGCGCCATTGAAGCCTTTGCAGTAAGCATCAACTTTTCTGCGTTTTGTTGCAATTCGTCTAATTATATTATATTTATGAATTTTATACTTGTTACATTATAATGTAATTTACTTTACACGTGACTCACAATAAATTCTGTTACGTTAAGAATATAATCGTCAAAACAGCTGTTTTGTTACTATAATTCAGTAAAGCGTCGCGGGCCGGGTTATATTATACCGCGGGTCGTAGGTTGCCGACCCCTGGTCTATCGTATCTAAAAAGTTGTGTATTTTACTTGATAAGTACCTTTAAGCACCCATTTTCTTTGTGGGTTCTGTCGATAGCAATGAAAACGGTTCCCATATCAGGGAAAAGGCATCCATTGCTATACCAATATCCGTAGTCCTGATGCCACACGTGCATTCCACCAGTATGTGCATCTTTCATTATAATTTTTGAGTGGTAATGGTAAACCTCCCCGCCTAGCAACTAAACGAAAACAGATTTCCCATTTAGCAGATAACGATAATTCATAGCATAAATATATATACATTAATGCACGCTGGATTTCATCGTTTTCCTATTGGTCATTTTACCGGGGCTGTAAAGTTAGGGAAAATTTACAATCGACCTCCGACTTTGGACTGAAAAAAACTTGGCCTCCGATATTTCAAATTTTGATAACAAAAACGAAGCATTTTTCAAATGAATATTAAGAAGGCGTGGTAAAGGCGTAAATGTATATACTACGGTGAAGGTAATGTCTTTCGAGTTTCTGTGAAAAATTCAGACTTAATCCATGATCATTGAGAGTCTTAAGTTCCGATTACGGTGAACTAGGAAATTCAACTCCCGAAAGCGAGTGGTTTAAAAATACGGCTCCGGTGACTCCCACAGTTTTAAACATGCCAAACTATTGACTCCCGCATCCGGTTCCACAGCTCCATATTTACGCCACGTCGCACACTATCTTTATCAAATTTTAGCAGATTGTCTGAATGCATCATATTGCTTTCAATGCTTTGTAACCTAAATTTAGTTATAGGGGGCTATATCGAGGTGGTCTCAATGTGGCTCCGATGTCGGGTAACCGGGTATCTCGTTTATGAATTCAGAGTAAATTTATTTTCGTTGGCACCCTAACAATTTATATGCTTTTACTTTACCTTTTCCATAGTTCCTGCTACTTTTTCACTTCTTGAAATAATCCCAGTTATGTCGGTTCCTGGGCGATTCCAAAGCACAACTTTTGCCTTCCTACCTTGTCCGTCATTCCTCCCATACGCATGTTTCTATTTTTGCGGGAAACAACAAAAACATAACATGTTCTTATACTGTATACTATATATATATATATACTTTCTTCATTGCCCAATACAATATAGGTGACGTAATATTAGCTAAAAAAAAAATTACTTGGCAATTTCAATCAGCAATTTAGATGCGGTATCGACTTCTTTCCTTAAATTGATTTGTCCAAGATGTAGTATTGCTATATCCCAACTGGGCTTGAAAAAAAATATTCCAACGCGGAAGAATTATATGCAGGAGTTGTCTCATACTGATAAGAAACATTCACTTAATCAAATTGTACTTTTCACGAATAATATCCGCTTATGGCCCTATAAGTTGTGCTATATATAATAAAACAAAACCTGCCTTCACCACTTCATTGTTTTCGACCGTTGTCTTCAAAATGCTCAGCTCTTCCGGGTCTAACAAATGCGGGATCAGTATGAAACCATCATCAGCAAATTTCTCTAACGATTCTGATGTTAAAATCGGATTGCCATCTTTGTCCCTTTCAACTGACACTCTTTCCACTACAAAATTTATTGATTTTTGTGTAAAAAATGCTGGACATTATTTAAAAAATAACTGCTTACCTGACTGCATCTTTTTGTAATATTCTTTCAAATGTAGCAGATTAACTGCACACCATATGCCTGGTGAGTAAACAGCAGCTAAGCGATATTATTTTTCAAATATTTGCTTTACCCACGACAGACGTAACGTCAGAAGCATGAGCAAAGACGAATTTAGTGCGAGACATGCCAAAACGATTATTACACGCGATACATGCATACAAACTGTCGAAGTCAATTACGCCAAGGACAACTCTAAAGTAGTATTTTTAACAGCGGTTACGACCCGACCAGTTTGCAACTGAATAAGGTGCAAGATGTTGAAACGCCGAGAATAGATTTGTGGCGACCTATGCGATTTTTGATTTGGGTAGGTGGGCACAGTGTATTTCAAAAACTGTCAAAACAAAGGGTGACACACGCGCGGACGAAAATAAAAAATTATATAAACAGCTTAGAGATGTTACTCAAAGCTTAATTTACGCTTTCGGAGAATGATATACAATCTTGTGCACAAGCAAATCTATCGTCTTCGAGCAGAGTTCGCGTATTAGCACTGCACCGAGTTTCCCAGAAACCATATTGAGAGTGTTGCAGAAGCTACTGCAAAACCGAGAAAAATCTTCAACACTTGCGGATAATGATTCCAATTATTCGGTTCAAATGCGTGGACTCAATGGATCAGCGACGAAACCATTGCTATCCTTGTCTAAACTATCTTTCAGATACCAATTATTTTGATTAACCAGGAAACTACACGAATCTTATTGTCCAAAATTGCAGGATTTCGATTGAAAGATTCAATAAGAAACTTAAGGCACCATGTCTGATCTTTTTTTCTGCAGAGATCTATCACATATCAAACACCCTATAATAAAATAATCATCCCAGCACACCAGTCTCGTGTTTTATTAATAGGTTTGTATAAGGCAGACAAAAAAAGCGACTCTGGCATTCAGCGAAGTCGTACTATTGGTTCATCCAGCAGTCTTTGCACAAAAAACTACTTCGCACATACAGACTATTTATTGCATCTTGTATTGAATCTTGACTACATTCATCTTGATTTTAAATATCCATTACAGAGTCGGTCTAAAAAAAAATTCAAAATTAAGATGACTTTAAATAGATCTGTGTCGAAACTTGAAAGAAAGAAAACTACCTTCAAATAAACAGGTGTCTTCTACAGACCACCCCACTGAAATATAAGCTCACAAAAATCCGAGGTCAGTTGTGACATCATGTTTCAAAATCATTAAAATTTGGAAGAAAATATCCTCAAAAGAAAATTTCCGAAACAAAATTGATAGTTTTTATGGAGACACTATCATAATCTACTGAAACAAAATCTGTTGAACAAGTTGTCACACACTCTCTGTAACATTATTTTGTCAAACTGTGTTTTATCAACATTTACCAATTTAAAATCCAGGTTAAGATATATAATGGTAAATATTTAAATGTTCACCAAATTGTATCCTCATTTCTATATCAAAGACCAAGTCTCAAAAATGTCTTTTATTCATTAATAGGTATACTAGCTCAAGATATTATATGAACTATGTATGTACCTATCTCAGCTGCATCATTTGTTCTCATAGTAATTAATTAAAGCTTTATAGCAAAAAAGCAATGCTAAAATATATGAATACTAAAGTCAAACAATTAGTATGACCACAGAATTATTTCAGACATGAATTAAACAGTAAAACTTGAGGTGAAATATTGAGCCCTGTAGGACTCAAGAAAATTTAAAAACAAAAGTAGTGATTTCTTCAATTGAAAATCGTTTGGTCTGTTAGTTGCAGAGGAAAGCAATTTTTCCCAACCCCGACAACAAGTTAGCAATATGTTTCGCTTTTTGTTCGCCAAAAATCTAACCTGCGTAACATCCTCAGCAAATCCATTTTCTTGAATTTTATCCTTGTTTCCAGCTTCTGCTTCTTCATATTCCCGTAATACTTGATCTAAGTTATATCTCCGCCGTTGACTTACAAAAAATGTTTTTACTTGTGCGGCAGTCTTTGATTCTAGTACTTCAGATATTGCTTGAAAATCTTTGCCGTAACGCCGAACGCCTGTGAAAAATAAACATTTGATTCATTACTATTGACTAAAAATATAATTGCTTGAAGAGATTTGTAAATGAAATATACACACAGAGGCAGTTTATTGATATTAAATGTACAGTTGCATCTTGCAACTAATGTTTCTGTTGTCATGTTGTCTACTCTAATGTCATGTTGAAATAAATCCATGGAGTGTTCACATTCGGAAAAACTAACAATAAATCAAACCTATATTTGAACAGAATTTGAGTCAATACGACCGCGATTACAATTCCACCACCATGTTTAAATAGTCTATGCATCTGAATCGCATATATCGTCAGCTATTTTCATATGCCTCTCGCAAAAGGACGAGGTGCTTTGGTTCAACATAAAATTAAGCTTCAGTATGGACATTCCTCTCTACAGGGATAAATATGAGAATCAAGAACAGAGATACCAAGTGTCACAAGCATTCATATTGGGAACCACTTTTCGAAGTGGAAATATTTTTAAAATTATTTTTCAAGATTTATATTTAGACAGTAGTCATGCAAAACCTCAATGTAAATGATTATTACCTTGCACAGCTAAAAGTAACTCCTGATTGACCAAACAGGTGAGAGCTCTGAGTCTTCTTTTATAGGTGTTGTGATAAAATCTTCAAACTGTGATATTCCTTTTAATTCTTGGCAGAGAAGACTCCAATGCTGTTTGTCGACTTGAATCTATTTAAAAAGAATTTGGAATCATGGTATCATCTCTCAAGCCAAATTTCAAATCAACTACATAAAACTAAACATTAAGAAGTAAACAAGAATTATTGATGAATCTTATTTATACTCATAAGAATTTGAATAACTTTCAATTTGACAAATGTAATATCGTGTATGATTTAGCATCATATGTGGAACAAGAAAGCAATGATTAAACATATTGATGCAAAGATTGAATAAGAGTGTCCCATAAGTTATAAAAAGTGTTTCCATGAACTAAAAGGAAACAACAAAATTTTGAGTGAATTATCAGAACTAGAAGAGAATTTGATAAAAGCAACATAGCCTCTCCTGGTGATCCCCAAAATTTTTCAAGAGCTCAAAATTCATTATTTTATCAAAACAATTTATCAATATGATCCATGTGTGTTCCCTTTGTGTTCAAGAATTTGATAAGCCTTAGAAATTCTTAGATACGCAAACACAGATTAAATTCATTGTTTATTATGTGAGTGTGTTAAAAATAGCATTCTTTGATATCGTTTTATAGCAGGTGGGGAGCCCTGAAAATGATTTTCAACAACTTCTAAGTCTACTTGAGATTGTGCAATAGTAGTTTCAAAATATTGATTTTGACAATACAGGTTGCTCAAAATCAATAAGATATGATTGTTGCAAATTGTTAATAGTTGCGATAACTATACGTGCTGTATTCAATAATTTCTCTAAGATACATAAATTGTCCAACAGACTTCATCAAACTGAAAGATTTCAGTCACATTCTTGCAGCCCCTTATGTCTAATTGGCTTATGCACACCTTTTTTTAGAGTGGTGGTGTATGCATCAGAGATAGAGAAAAACCAAATCGAAAACATTTCAATCTTCAAATCAAGTCTACAACTTCAGGATAACAAGTTTTGATTTAAACTCCACATAAGTGTCAAGTGTAGTTTCTCATAAACATTCAGATTTCTGTAAGTCACACAGATCAATATCACTATGATGGCTCACAGGAGTTTCTAGTTTAATTTTATGTTTCAGGCTTACTTGACTTTTCAGCATGGTTATGCTGTTTTCAAGTTTTTTCAGATATTTTTCAGGTCCACCAGGAAAGCTCGAGATTTCTGATAATCCTTTTTCTTCTAAATTAATTCCTAAATAAAAAAATGAACATCATTTCACAGAAAAAGTAGGAACATGAATCAGAGCACTCACAGACTGTTTTTATTTAAATTACCATCACAAAATATTAAACAATTGAAATTTTCACATATCATTTCAACAGGAAATGCAAGCGATGAGCCATACATTGTGAGTAATAATACAGACAGTTCACTTGATATCAACAAATAGATACTTGTGTACTCTAAAATTTACCAAAATATCACAATGAATTTCAATATTATTAATAAAGCACGGTGAAATTGTGAATGAATGTAGAAAAGTTACGACAAACTTTGTTTTGCTTGGTTGACTATTTCCTAGGATCTTCAAAACTGGGAGAACAAAAACAACAAAAACGTTACTCATTTATCAATTGCGGATAAAAAACTGGGGAATGTTTTTTGTTATTCCAGCTCCATATACCTCTCGCTCTTAATAACAAGTCATTGTACTAACAGCCAAGCTAGATGGTTAGCTGAAGCCACTATACTTTGGGTAGACCGTTTTTTCCGCACCCAATTTATTACATTCTGAACAAGATGGTGGGCATAGGATTTGAACCTGAGATTTTTAACCTGCGATGGGAATATAGTTAAGCCTAAAACTTCCCAATCCATAGGAGTAGTTTTGATAACAGGTATTACCTTTAGGTAATTTGTGTTTTATTTCAATATCTCCTTTTCCATCCTCAGATTTCCCTTGTAGCATCTGTGATGGAAAATTGATATTACATTGGAATAACGTTTTTGTTATGAAAATCAAGCTTTCTCATGATTTGGACTCCAAATTTCTATCAACCTGCAGGGTGGTTGGTGATCAGAGTCAAAGCATCAAAGATCAGAGCCAGAGTATGTCGCAGTCGCATAAATGATTATATCTTCTGAGACGACTGAGACGACAAGATATCAGATTGCATTAAATTTTTAAAAAAGTGAACTTTTTTAGTTTGCTAGATAGATCCTGATACACATACAACTTTTCGTACAATACCTTTATATCATGCTGTGATTTGCTTTGCATATATGTTAAATGGTTGCTCTCTCCATCTGAATCATCGCTGGATTTAAAAAAGTAAAAGATAAACTATTCAAAAAGTTTTTTACCTTATATACAATCAAATATACAATCAAACTATGAACACTGGGCTGGAATTGAAGCTATAAATCAGTCACAGGGAACAAACTTTTTTCACTGTATATACTTATGACAAAAAAGAAAACGAGGGGATTTTACAAATGCAAAAATGACAATTTTTGGTTTTGGTAAGATGCAAGACATTTCAATAGAATTAAATATGTAATTTACTATGTAAAGAGATGTAATACACAATTCTTCTCTTGATGGTAGACGTAAAACAAATTATTGTGGGGATTTTAAAGAAACGTAATATCAAGGAATACGAGAAAGCTGATAATAGGATGCAAGACATGGTAATTGGTAATCCATCCTGTCATTAATATACAGAATAATGAACCACAGCTCAGAATAAACTATTATGATGTCCATGCAATCAAAGACTAAATTTTGAATAAAAACATTTTTTGACAATGTACCTATTGCGATTTGAGAGGTCTCATTTTAGTAAATATTATATCTCCTGTTATAAATAATATATAACAAAGCACATGAAACTACAAAGTGAATTTCTAATTCAGGTTAATGAAAACGAACCTCCCATTTGATTGTTTGCTTAATTTTCTAGCTTGTCTATCCATGAGAGATGTTTTCGTTCTTGTTTTCTTCCAAAGGTAATAAAACTTAACCAGTTGGCAGATTTCTTTATCTGGAAGCTGAGAGGTTAAAATAAACTTTTTATCAAGGTTTCCATATAAAAACGAATGAGCTACGCGTTTCGAGTTCTAAAAAATTCAAGTTGTCAGTAATTGTGGCATAGTAATAAGGAATAAAGTTGCACTTTAGAAGGTTTAATGGTTTTAACACATGCTGTTTTGATGTCTTGTGGTGAAGCAAATAATTTTGTACTTTTTTTTTAGATTAGAGTTTTTTTAGCGAATAGTAAAACCGGACATGAAAAACCGGACATATTACACTCACAGTGTTAATTTATTATTTTACTATCCTAAGCTTATGATATTTAATAAAAGATAAATATACCAGATATTCAACTGAAAACATAGATTTCTTTCCAGCACATTTGCAGAACATATGATATTCATTACAAAACATATAAATTTAAAAAACAATTATTTTATAAATCGAACCCAGTAAAAAAACATAGAAGAGAAGAAAATGGACTAACAAGAAGCAAAATAATCAACTAAAAATGACAATACCAACTGTTGTATTCTTCTAAATGACTTGCCATGAAAAGTATATGCTTGTTCAAATAATACTTTATCTTCATCTGACCAATCATCTACAATAAAAATTATAGATTTTCGTCAAATGGGTCGGCTCATTTGTGAAATGCAAACAGTGGAAGAGACTCCATTTATTAATGTATACAAGTCTAGTACTTGTGACAAACTCCAATCTGCCTATTCTCTGCTTATAAGAATCAGTAATGTAATGCATTCAGCATGCCTTTACATTCATATGAGTGAACCAACTCTTGAAACATAATTACTAATCAGATAATATTAAAAACTAACTTGATATTAAATAAAAAAAAATAACAATATTTTTTTAATACTTGGAATGTACAAATTTAAGAATGATTCACAATTTACTTTAAAATTGGATAAATCGACAATTCAAAATATTAGTTTCAATTTGGGTCATATTCAACAAAATAATTAGAACAATTTTTTTTTTAAATAAATTGGATAACGTGGAGTAATTTTGTATTTTCTTAAAATTCAAATCCTCAAAATGCAAAATAAAATATTTTCTTCTGCATACTAAAGGTCAAGGGTCACTGGTCGAATTATGACATTTCAAAAAAAATCCTGAATCCTCAATTAATATATAAAATAACCAATTTAGAATGCAGAATTCTAAATTTATATAGATATATATATATGATTAGTCGTAACAATTTTCCAAATTTGTCCAACAGATATCTAGTTGCTAAAAAAGAGACAATGGCAAGTATGTTTCCCACAATATACCTGGCATTGGTGTGAAATTGGACATATCCTTGAGTGATTTTTCTATATCATGTTTATGCCAAAACAATAATCCAAGTGCTTGTTCTGCATTATATCCATGTTTTTCTTTAGCAATCTTGCAGTAGGCTTCAACTGCAATGAATAAAAAAAAGTACCGGTAAAAGGAAATAATAACATTTAATTAATACAGGTTGAATAATAGGAAATGAGCCCATTTTCTCAAAACCTTTCGCTTTCACTGCAATGTTTTGATAGTAGATAACTATTATATTTATATATCAGTGAAGTACTTTCATTATTTATGCAAAATTTATCCTCTAATGTCCTCAGAACCCATACTGTGAAAATGTAATCAAAAGTGATAAATAACTAGGCTACAACTGAGCCCTATGAAGTTCCAATAAAAGATAATGATAATGTAAAATAGTTCAACAATAAAAGTAATCATTGGATAAAAACCTTCCTAGTCCTACAAATTTTGCTAATGATGGATTATAGATTCACAACACAACTCAGACTAAGGTCAATACATCCACCCAATTGCCAATTTTATACCTTCACGGACAAAGGACAAAAGTGCCATTGTTAAAAAATAACTTGCATACCTTTTTCATCAGGTACATCATGAAAGGGTGACCAAATTTTTATGCCATCATGAGTGCCAACTTCCACCTTTTCTTCAGCTTCTGTCAAAATTATAATATGTGGATTGTGTGTCGATCTAAGATATTGTTCATTCGCAATGAATTTTCTATAGTCCAAACAGTAAATGAACTAAACTGAAAATAGTTGGTTAATTAAGACTCAATAATACACAATTATCTGCTAAATATAACAGACAAAAGCATATTTAAACCAGAATATTCTAAATTAAGAAATGCTAGGAATAAAATTTACAGAAAGCAATACCGGTACAGCTTTAGTGTGACACTTTTTAAAATTGCATTAAAGTCAGAAATGACAATACTTGGATTAATTTTGTACTTTTATCGGCATCTGAAATAAAATTATTTTTTATCTATCTGACAAGTGTCAGGGCTATAGCCCAAATTTAAAGATTTTTCTTAAGATAAATACCTCAAAACGAAACTTATAAACTACACAGTGAATATGAGTAATTTTGAGTTCACACAATTTATTCGGATAAATATACCATATATACTCACTCATAGATTGCATGCTAGTTTGTAATTGTCAAAGTGGCCAAATGTGGTTTGTGGCTGGTCTGTACCAGTAGTCAGCACATGCACTGTAATCTGGTAATCACACTGCTTTTTCCACAGAAAGCATCAAATATTCAACCCATTTTAAAACTCTACTTATAAATATCATGTTGTTGGCCATGTATAATGGCAACATACAAAAAAAGGGTGACTATAATTGTTAATGTGCTTAGGTAAAAAGCGATATATTGACAATTGGACAATTATTAAACAATTGGATTTGATAAACATTCCAGGACTAATGTACTGGTGTTTACAGTCATTTTGTAAAGTCGATTTTGGTATATTCGTGATTCAAAAAGTACAAAGAATGGAAATTCAGGAAAACTGCCAAAATTTTGAAGAATAACAGTGATAAATACCTTCCCATTTCGGGACTCTTGCTTGGTACATTTCACCAACCCGCATTCGAACTTCTGAAAAAGTATAAAAATAATTGAATCAAGCTCGGAACCAATAAGAATTGGAGGAGGCACAATGGCCTATTGTAAAGGTTACCAAAAGGGGTTTCGCAGCGACTTGTTAAATGTGCCCCCAAAATTAATAAAATTGTGTTAAACATAACTTCTAGGCCCTATAATATGATTGAATATTTTACATATTGTATTTATTATTTAAAATGCTGTGTATTTGAATCAATAAATCCATTTTACCTTTCCATTTCGTCTACCTTCTATTACGTAGTATCTGACTCTATCGTAACATACCAATAGAGTTTACCGAACATGTGTGATTATATTAGTATTTCAGAAATAATAATAAAGTCCACATTATTAATGATCACAAAATTGAGTTCGAATTAAAGGGTGCGAATACTACCACACAAAGGTTAAAATAAATCGATTAAATAATGTCATTCTAAAGATTTTTTTTTAAATATAGTAGAACTTTACATTTCAGTGAATACTTGTATAGAGCTTTGTTTAGAGAGAAAGGTGTGTAATAACTTTACTTACACTATTTCACAACCATGCAACAAAAGTAAGTCATATCTGATAACCATACCTGGTTCTTCATCACTACTTTCCTCATAGACTTGTCCATTCATTGTTTCATATATTACAGGACTCGTACGAGTATCAGTAGCTGTTGAAACAATTGTTGCCATTTTTTACAACTCCGATTGAACAAAGATAAAATATCCAGTTCTCTTTCAATGTCAATTAGTTTAGCTGCAGTCTCGCTTACAGATGTTACCAACAACAAAATGTTAAAAACCTATGATATAAATATACATTGTTAAAAAGAATAATTGTAAACAGTGCACACTATTGAACTTCCTAAAACCATAATAAAGCAGTTCTCTTGATTATACAAATAACGAAACAAAAAATAATTTAAAAATTTACATACGTTTTCAAAGTGAAATATTGCAAACTCAAATATACCTAGTAAAATTCTGGAATTCTACATTAAAAAGCATTACATATTATGATGAAACTCTCTTTGGTAATCATGTAGGTAGTTTTAAACTGGTATGTTCGAATAGAGCTTTAAGATATGTGCCAGAAAATAAGAAGTCAGAGATTTCCATGCAAGCCATGACCTAATCCAACCAGACAGAAAATTCTGTTCTGCTCTCAAGATGGAAAAATTGACTACCACAGCAGCTCTTGCAAAAAACTTCAAACAAAATCTCTACTTATGAGATGAGTTTTTTAATTTCAGTCAAATATTTAGACTTTCAGAAGTCTGTAACTCAGCTAGGATGCAATAGTCCTCTCAAAAAATTTGAAAATACAATACTGATTAACTCCAATTTTTAAGAAAAAAATCAAACTCCAAAGCCATACATGAAATAGCAGTATATAAATATTCAGCCTGCAGAGCTCGGGTTTATTAATAATAAATCTTCAAATGTTACACGCGTCCGTTTTCCAACTCCAAGGTAAAATTGAATTGGAAATTTGCATTAGAGCTTAAAATATCATTTCTTACACAGCAATGAAAAAGATTTTAGATTGTATCTAATAGAAAAACAACACTAGGCTATATGATATAACTATTGTTTCATACATGCAATGGCCGCCATTTATGATATTTATTATTTTTGATATTTACTATTTATGATAATTATCAATGGATTGTCTAATAATGATTGAATAAATTAAAGATTACAATTGCAATTAAAAAAAATGAGAAATCACTAGAAAATTAACACAACACAATGGCCATAAATTTTCTCAAAAACTTATTTCAGTTCATTTATTTCAATTCACAGCAGAGTTATTACAAATTTAATTGGAATCAACTATGAAGAAAATTAATTGTTATAGATTCTATTTTCTACCAGGTAAATCAGGATTGAACTGGATAAAAATGGTATCAAACAAAAATATTTTGAAATGAAAATGATACTAAAAAGCAGTAGTTTGTGATTTTGTATTTATTGTTTCTGAAGTGGACAAAAGTGGAAAACCCTCTTTCCCTTTGTCATCACTTGAAAAATGACGACTTTTCACTGACTTTTTATCATTAGAAATCTCTCGATCATCTGATTCAGATGAAGTGTCTAATTTTAAACCTTCGAGCAGAGCTGTCCCAGACGTATCATGATTTCCATCACCTGATGTATAACTAGCATCTATGGTGATCGAAGTCTGTAGCTTGACTTCATATTTATCAACATCACTAAAACTTTTACTACCCGAAAACCCTCTTTGTTTATGATTTAGTGACGAACTTTCATCCATACTAGGATGCTTTTGAATTCCTATAGAAGTCCGGCTTTGTTTCTTAGTCAATGTTGGGCTCAATTTCTTTTGTGAAGGAGACAGTTTTGGTTTTTCGACTTCCATTTCATCAGTGGATGTTGATATTTTCTTGTTTTTTCTCGTTTTCGGTTCTTCTCCACTAGATGGTGCTGGGCTTTTACTTTTTTCTGTTAGAATTCCCCCAGCTGCCGATTTTTTTAATTTGGATTTCAATAACTTTGTCGGCGACGTACTGGAATATTTATCAGCTTTTCCAGAATCATCCAAATCGGAACTCTGCTGTCCAACTTTAGGGGGATGCAATTGAACTTCCGCATTTACGAGACTCCTAGATAAATCCCCAGATATTTCTTCATTATGATGTCTCCATCGATGATCTTTAATCGATTTGGCAGTTGCAGCCCATCTCCCTCCTTTCCTGCTGCTCTCACGAGCAAGAATAGGAGTAAGATTGACGGAAAGTAGCCCATAAGGTGCAGTTTCACCTCGACTAGCTTCACCAAATGTCTGTTCATCATGCTCTAATTTTGCTGTATTAAGAATTGCATTACATAAAAATATAACTTGTGGTACCAATTCTTTTTTAGCTCTTCTTTGCATAGCTTCAGTTGCGAGAAAAGCTTCTGTTTGACAGTTGTTGTACATTGCAAAATACACACATCGAAGTATTTTTAACATAAATTCGACACTCATCGGATATCGGCGTGATTTCTGCATAGTTTCATCATAACTTTCGATGTATTTGTTCTGCCAAGTGTAACCTGACGATGCTAGAAGTTTACAAGTCTCACACAAACTTTTATGAGAAGACTTTTTCAGTGTTGCAATGTGCGAAGAATAAATTGACATAATTTGCGTTAAGATTTGAAACCTGTTTGCTGGAACAATTACAGTGTGATTCGGCAAAACTGGTTTTTGATAAAATTTCCGACTCGGATTTTGCATACTCCACATTTGTTCAGAAAATATTCCAGTCATAGCATCGTGATAAATTGATGAATATCCTGGCTGCGGAATTTCTAATCCCGGAGACTCGATATCTTTTTCCTGCGATAAATTCTCTAATGTGTAAATCGACAACAAAAGAGCATCCGTTGATGTTGAATCGCTAAATGCAGAGCTAACAATTATATGTGACAAAATTATGGAAGGAAATAAATTGATTGTAAAGGTTATTAATTCGTCAAATCCGCTGCGATAAAATTCAAACAATTGATGACAAACTGGTTGAATTAAATTGTTCATGGACTTAGTCGTATGAGGTGGATGGACTTTGAATAAATGCAATAAAGCATCTAAAACGTCATCTTTTTTAGAAATTTCTTTTGCATAATTTGGAATTGAAGATTCTGCCAGTCCTTTATACTCCGTAAGCCATTCACGAATAACAGATCCAGCATCTTTTTTCTCTGTATTAGCCATTGTGATTTAAAGAATAGGTATTTATCTTTTCAACATTCTGTAATAGAAAAAAATGATAAAATCACACAACCCAAAAATCAAGCAAGCCCAGAGAAGGTATAGAAGAGAGTCAGATTAAAACAAATGGTGGCTTGTAAGATGGTGAACCAAATATGGCTAAGTAGGGTGGTGTAGCCAGTCTGCGGACGATTTCATTCAAATCGCTATAAAACAAAAACCAATATTTCTAACCCGTTAATTTTTTCCCCGTAGGTGCATTGGCAATTATTCTACACGTTAAACCTCAAATTAACTTTCTGCGACCAGGGGTTAAAGCTATACAAACCGCCAAAGTACGACACTCCGAAGACGTATTTGCGACCGAATGACCAGTGTGCGACCACGCATTTCAAGCCTTGAACATCGTTTCTGCTGCGTCGAGACTAGGGCATACACAGCCATGCGTGAAAAAAATAGGCTTCTAATTGCATTTCTGACTGTCATATCTTTTAAGGACACGGTTATTTCGAACAAAACTCGTCAAATTATAAACCGAACACTGCATCACAGCAATCAAAGAGACAAAAACACGGTGGTCGCAAACTGGTGGACAAAGATATTATCGACGTATTCGAAATGCGCACCCCTTTATTCCCCCTCCTTTAAATGTAGAAGCGTGAAACTTTAAAGATGGTCAAAAGAAACACAACTCTACCCACCTGCCAAGTTTCATCTCTTTATCTCTTATATTTGTATGGATTTTCAAGCTTTTCTAAAGGAACAATGGGTAGTTGGTGACATGGAAAATTGGTCCGTTTTTTTTCTTCGGTCGGGTTTTCGGTCGTAACTTTTTTGTTTGTGGCCGCATTTTAGTGTCATTTCGCAGAACTATGAGGGATAAGTGGACGATAACGCGTGAGAAATATCGTCGCGGTTCGTTAATTTTTTCCTCATTAATTTAATCGATGAAGTTGATGGTCGCAAATAGGTCGTGGCCGCAAAGTGGGTAAGCCACCCATGTTTAAAAGAATTCCAGTTGAACCAACTTTATGACTGTATGAGCGTGTGAAAGTACCAGAGTACCGTACCCATAGCTGAAGCTAATTTCTTTTTACCTATTCTTTTATTTTTTGCCAAATTAAATTTTAGTGCCAATATACTGATATAGAATGGAATTAATTTGTATTCCTTGTCCAACTTCAGTACTTCCATTCTATATTCAGATTGAACCCTTCCCGAATAAATGCATTCACGGTGTTTCATCATACTGTCATACGGTACCGGTACCGGTACCGTTCATTTCATCATTCTTTCACTAATCCAATATTTTAAACTCATATCTCTGCATCTCACCCGCTGATACCGTAAACGCAGGTCGTGGTATTGTGTAACCGTTAACTTCGGATGGTTTGTAACTTCGGATGAAATTTTCAATCGTTTATATCTTGACTAAATTACGTCATATTTTGCTTCTGGCAGTTTCTATAGAGAGTCCTTATATATCTAAATCTGTTATCATATTCAATCGCCTAATCTTATTTATTTTTTGACACAAAAAATCACATTTTAGCCAAAAATTGACACCTTGTTTTTGAGCGGCTAACATAGCGACTTCTGCCGACGCTAACTTCACTAAAAGACCGTCAATCGCTAGAGGGCATACACAATGTACAAGGAAAATTACAGTGATCACGAGATGTCGCGTGCGATTCAAGTAAAATATATTATTTTGATTTAAAAATTTCGTCAAAATATCGACGTTACGATGCTTACGCTGAACGTGACGTCAACAACGTGATTCAATTTCGCTCCATTTAACGCCGACGTCACATTGCGTAACTCGCTGCGACATTTGAACGCCAGACTATGTGGCGCCACGTGTAGTTAAATATAAAGTGAAAGCTCCTACCTGATCCTAGTCACCAAATCCTACAAAAACTTCATTATAGCCCCAGTCATATGCTGTTTATTCATTGTGAATCCGTTTAAAGCACATCAAATTTGTGCGTTAATATTTTTGCATTCATTCTCCGAACGTATAGATGTTGTTGATACGTAAGGCTAATGAACAGCCAGTTACGCGTATCTATACTATCACAATGATAAAGTATGTATGTTTACGATGATAATATCTTAAGCGTAGAATGTTGCACAGGTGAGCATGAAACTCAGGTGCACTCAGTAGGAGGTTGGACCACATACGAGTAAGTCGCAAAATGAAGAAAAGAGTATCAAAGTTTCTATTTGGCGTTTTATCCGTTTCATGTCATTTGACTTTGTCTATCTGCCTGTGAATACATTATATCTGAATTATGAACACGAGCCACAAGCTCCACCGTTCCATATTGTTTTCCATTTCCACTGCCATTTTTTACTACCTATCGTAATTCATCATTCATTTTTTTATTATTTTCATTCGTTTCATTTTTGTTTCGTATTAAAAATTGTTTTCCACTTCCATTTTTACGACTTAGTTTATGCGTCTGTTTTTTTTATTTTCATTTGTCCCATGTTGTCTCATTTTTGTTTTGTATTAAAACGATCATATTAGCAAAATCTAGCACTTTCATGAAATTAAGAATAGTCAGAAGTAAATGGTTTAGTTTTGCGAAATGTCAGAAATAGCGATGGGCAAAATTATCATAAATTATTACATGCGTTGTATTTTGAAGCATTTTAGCGGTAATAATTATGGCGTGACACTGTCAAAATCGTCGAGTAAAGTGCTGAGTTCGCAAATTCCGTAGATAAAATTGTGAGTTAGTCGGTAACGATTTTAGCTATAATAACCGTCGGGTTATTGTTTTGTCCAAAAAAAACGTTAAAACTTGAGGGAAATAGTTATATATATTGAGCGTCCGACCCGCTATTAGGACCAAAAGCCTTATGACAAGTATAAATGCATAACGGCCGATTTATTCAATTATTATAATAAATAAAAATTCAGGATTCGTGCAATCGCAGGTGCAAAGCATAAGAACGTCAATCATCGTCTTAATAAATATCTCCATCCCGGTGTCGATAATAATATCACCGTTCTCTTTAAACTCGAACGATTAATAATATACAAACAGTGATAAGATCAAAGCCAACACATAAGATAAAAATCAGAATAAAATTAATTTGGGTTTTGAAATCAGTCCTTCTTGTCTTCAAGAGCTGTTGCCGATGTAAACGCACGGGTATACCCGATCAATGACATTAAGCATGCTGCTAATGTCATTGACCAGATATATAAAACTTCAATGTCCGCCGACCCGAAAGAATTTAACAATCGGAAAAAAATAAAACGGCCGTCATAGACGAACGTCAGTGTGCGACACGCAAAACGGATCACGGCATCGTAAGTTCTACGCAGCGACGTTATCACGCGTCACTGATCACTCCAGACATTTCTCTACTCACGACGAAGTGACGCAAAGACGAAAAAAGTGGCCATCCACGAAGTTAGAAAAATTTGGAATTACAGAATCTCAAACAAATAAAGTCAATAATTTGAATGAAAAAAGGTATTGACTGAATATGAAACCGAGTTTATCGTGAAGAGAAAGGCTTCATTGTATTATATTCCAAGTTTGGCTTCAATTGAACAATAGGCGGCGGAGAAATTGTTCATAATATAGTGAAATCATCCGAAGTTACCGTAAAAGCGCCTAACTTCGGACAAAATTACTATACTTTCGTCAATAACTCGGCCATTTATTGTCCAAACGGTGCCAAAATTGCTCGGTAAAACATTCGTGCGGTAATTTACATTCCCTGCAAATTTCGGTTCAATTGGACTATTTTTACTATTGAAATAATCGATATTTCTTGCCATCTGACCGTTATCCTTCACTGCCCTAACTTCGGACAGTCATTTTCTTCACTGCGTAACCGCGACGCACAGAGAGAAAGAGGCTTCCGATGCGGATGACGTAATCACGTCGTTGCGTGAAGATAAGACGCTCGATCGTCGTCGTAACGTAACATTGACGTCACGACGAAAATGCATTATTTGAAACTTCCGTCGTCCTATGTTTACATCTTTCGTTCGTTATTTTCGATACTTCCGATGAGTATAATAACACGTTAGTCATTTTAATCAGGAAATGCATACGTAAATATATCTGATGCGGCCCGTTTCAATCCACAATTAAGTATTTTAACGGGCTTCTATCGAAGTCTTTGAAGTATTAAATATTCTCGACAGATAGCTTTTTTATTGCGCGGTTATCTTTATAAATGATAATTTATATCAAACACAAGGTAAATCCGATTGTAAAGTTTAATTTAAAATTCAACTTAATCTTGTAAACATGTAGGTTCCGTTTATTTGTTGGAGATTAAATTTATTTTTAATTTCGAGTGAATAAAATTCACCCAGGCCGTATTCAATAACTGTCATTTCGACTACTAATCATAAAATAATGGTTAAGTCAGTGCACTGTGCCATATGGACGTTGGAATTATCATAGTTTTATATATTCGATTTTTAACGTCATCGATTAAGTGTGACATGTATTTTCATTAATGTAATTTTGGCATATATTCATACATGACCGAACAAAATATTACGTTGGAACGCCGTCTTTATCTTAACGGAAATTGTCATATTGGCTCCGTTGTGTCTGGCGTCAAAATTCATTTCCGCGACGCAGTGTGACGTCGTTTCGGAAGTGAGCGAAAAATAATCTACGTGAGGTTGACGTAATTTTTGACGCTGCGTGAAATCTTAATATTCTTACGGAATTTATAATTCAGAATTTTAGGTTTTATTTAAATCTCGTACGACATCTTGCGATCACTCAAATAAATTATATACATTGTTGTCGCCCTCTACCGAATGATGGTATTTTGACGACGATAGCTTCAGTAGGAGCGACGCTCTGCGCCGTTGAATGCCGGGCAGTCAATTTTAGGCAAAATTTCCGTTTTTTTACCAAAAAAATAATTATGCAACATTAAAAAAGATGAGAATAGATGTAGATATAACAGCGCAACCTATAATAATTAAAATTAGCAATATACGGCGCGTTTTAGCCAAGATATGGCCGTTCAAAAATTTTGTCCGAAGTTAGGGACTGTCCGAAGTTAGGCGCTTTTACGGTACCTGCTTTTACGGTAATTAACAATTTCTTAAATTTTCATCATTTTTAGTACGTTACCGTACTCATCTAGTCTATTCGTAGTTATGTCTTCTAAACCAATATATCTCTAAATTGCAGGTCTATTTTCATCTATCATATGGCTATATGCCAAGATCCCTTTTCAACTCAAACTTGTTGGCGTCAATCTCGCCATCAGACGTTACATGTACCGGCGCCATCTCACAAAGTGACAAATTCTTCTTTGGAGATCACTCTATGTCTCCCCTCGCGTGCTTCATCTATTTTACCATATTAGCCGAAACGAACCAGAACCCGCGTTATGTACTATCAATCAATTTTATTTTGTTCCCTGTGGCATAAAACCAACGCGTAAACAAAATGCAGAGGACCTGGAGGACGGGTAATGAAAGTCCTAAAGGCAAACTTGAAGTACTCTACCGTTCACCAAAAACACTCATCCCGCTAAGCATTATAAATTATGGGCTCGTCATCACACCCTTGATTACGGTACCCCTAGTGGATTCGAATGTCGCGGGAGAGGATCTCAGTCATGGGGTTGTTCACATAACCATGGTCGATAATTAGCACACTAACAAGTCCATTCATCTCAAGCAACTCGTAAACTATTGCCGTACTCGACAACATGGGCTGCTAGCCAGACTAGAGGCCTTGGTTTGCCATAAGATCAAGTCATCCACTCAGCGGCTTTCATCTTACATGAAATAATTTTGAAACTCTTAATTAATCAGAAAACCAACCCACATCATTGAAGAATTCCTGCTGCCAGATCGGAAAATCTTTTTGACGCAAGGATGGCAACAACATAGACTCTAATATCTAAAAATGCATTGTGTCTGTCGAAATCTTTTAACAGCTTCCAATTTCAGATGTCTATATGCTGATATCGAACTCGACGATTCGAAAACACAACACTCTTACTCTGTTCACAAACATAAAGAACCACAACAACAAAAATCCTGCGAGAATGTTATTTATCAAGTCTGTTTCAAACTCCTGTGGAAACAGAAAACAAATTTATGGAAGAGAAAAATCAATGTTACTCTGACCCAAATTCAAAAATGGTATAATTTCGATAACCACTAGTAAGTAAGAAACTAATGCATAATGTCCACAAGTTTTACACCCCTTGCAGTATTGACATATCAATGAATCCGTGATTAAAACCAACTAAAGAGGCAGTATTGAACATCTCGTTTTGGAATTCTCGATATCCTAGTATACTCCCAATGCTTGGTTATAAGATTCAGAATCAACTAAGATCGAGATTTTAAGATAAAGCCGATTTTAAGATTCAGGTTGAGTCAGGATCATCACCAGAAACCAGTTCCTTTTTTATTTTTCCTTCATCATCACTTGACTCAGATTTTTGGCTTGTAGGTTCTGGTTTTATTTGTAATGATTGACTTGTCCCTTCTTCAGAATCTTCTTCACTTTCATTGTCTTCTGATACACTGTCACCATCACTTTCATTGTCACTCTCATCCTGTTTCATCTTCCATTGTTTAGCCATCGCAAGTAGTTTAAGATTAGGTTGAGCTGCTTCATCTTCTGGGAATATGTAATCATAATATTCTTCCCATCCTGCATCAACCTGAGAATTAAACGAGTACGATTTAATACGAAAATTCAATGAAATACAACTGGATCAGTAAAAGTGTTGTAATAAATTGGGGCAAGTGCTACCAAATATTTTCTAATCAATTTATCACAACTACAGTAAAATAACAAATCAATCTCAGTTACCCCTGATTCAGTTGTGACTTTTCGTCTTTTCTTGATCCTCTTTGGCATTTGTTTGTCAACTTGACGAATCGTCTCAGCATCACCATTTTCAAGCTGAAAATATCAATCGTTATCAGATAAAATGGGAAAGAGAGGTTGAGACTATTAGTAAAGTGAATTTATAACCAATTTTGGTAAAGAAACTATGTACCAGTCCCAAAAAATCGATCGATAAATTCCTAAATCCCATCTGTTCTCAAATAGTTGTTGGCACATTGCGCAAATATTTGGAATATGTATGGAATTTGAAATATGACTATGCCGATGAGTAATCGAAATGGGGACACACAGATGCCTACTTTAATCAAATTTTTCTCACTTCAAATTTCTTCCAAGCTTCCAACAATAACATTCTTTCTTCTTTTTCATGTGTGTCTTTGAGTGTGTTGTGTGCTTCTTTATACACTTGTCTGAAGAAAAATACGTCAAAATGATATGAAAATAAATAGAAGCCTGCAGGCAGTAGACAGGCAACTAAAACAGTAGTATTTACAATACTCGAAATCCCTTTTGTGGAGATAATTAACAATGAAGAAAAACAACATATGATTATGCCAAATTCAATTTAAAATAATACTAACCTTGCTCGTTCAAAACCATCCTTTGTCTCATTCGAAGATTCAAAAGTAGCAAAACTCATCCAAACTTTCACATGTTGAGTTCTGTCTAGTAACCTTCTGTATAATTTCCTTGCATTTTCATTTTCCTCTTGTTCCATTTCAAAATCAATATAAGCTTTCCATAAAACCTAAACGAGAGAAAAATATCTTCTTGAAAAAATTTGAGACTGTCTAAAACCAGAGTGCACATTGTGCCTATCTTTAGAGTAAGATCAATTGGATGTTGAACTAAAAATAGAGTGTCACAACACAGAGATTTATAGCCCTATAAAATGGTCATTGAAGTCTAACAAATTGAGCACTGGATAAAATTAAAGTTTGAATTTTACAACATTGCTGTTTCAGGAACTAGTATTTTAAGATGATACAAAAGCAATAAAGGAATATAAGATGTCGAAAAACTGTTACCAATAAGCTTACAAAATTTATTAGTGAGTGGAATAAAGTGACGACATAACTTTTTAAAATCAGCAAATTTGGGTCTCGTGTGACTTAGTAGAAATTTGTAAAATACAGGAGCTTATTCCACCCTCAACCACTCAAATTTGGGTGCAATAGTCTTGTATTTAAAGATAAAGCTATTTTTTGTTCCAACATTAAATTATTCTCACATACTAACCTCAGGCATATCAAGTCTAGGTTGATTTACAGCAATCTCGTATATAGCTCTCGCACGATCCGCATCCCCAAGTAATGTTTCAAGTTCCGCAAACCGGCACCATGTTGTGCAATTATCAGGGCCATGTTCCAAAAATTTTTCATATAAAACTCGACAACGATCAAATTCTCGAAGTTGAAGTTCTAGTTCAATGTAACCGCGGAACAGGCGATCTTTCGGGCATTTACCAATTGAAACTCCCTAGATAAATAGAATGAGTTACATGTGGTCAAAAAACACAAATAAATTTAAAATACCGGTAGTTTATATTGGCATAACCCTACGTAATAAATATTTGTGGTGGCTCGTGCAGAGCCACATTCAGAGTAAAAAGCCTACTTAAAATAGAAATAAATGTATAAAATTTCGTCTAATTCCATAGAAGAATTTTTGACAGCATTTTTCAGATTTATATGGCAAATCTTAATCTATATTGAGATATATACCAATACTTTTGTGTTTTTGAACTTGCTACAGCTTGGGATTGTTAAAGAGTGCAATACATTTTTAACAACTTTACATTCTAGTTGTAACATATTTTAGACTGAGAAATTTTCGCTCTTAGCTGGTGTATTTACATTTGAAGTACATTGTTTATTTGAAGTAAGTCTTATTTTTGATGTTTAAAATATATACCAAGACTATGTAAACAAACCCTGACATACCAATATTTTTCTTGCTTGTTTCAAGTCCCTTTGTCTTATTTCAAAATGAGCAAACATCAACCATACTTTTGCAAATGTGAATTTCTTATGTGGTATCACTTCTAAACAAGCTTTGTAAACTTCTCGCGTTCTTTCGGAATCCTGAATTTAGGGATATTTGGGTTAAAGAAATGAATTTCAACATGAAATATGAAAAAGGTCTGTCTTCTGATTTTGTCCTTGGATAAAAGCTTTAATAATATAATATCACCAGCTGCATGTGTATTGTAAACATGTTGCGATTGCACAGCTGACTTTCAAGAGTAATTGATCGCATTTAGCTAGCTACCATAAATGGTAGCATTGTTTGAATGCACCCATATATGAACAGCACTGAACCTGTTGTCCTATGCCCGGATGATCCTCAGTGGTCTGGGGTGCAGGCTTCAAACCTGTAGCCGATTAGCGTCGGAGTGGTTCGATTCCACCTTCTGGGCGGATGAGTAAATATTTGAAGAGCATAAGAGACATCTGGTTTGGCGAGGGATATTCACATGAGAAACATATGCTACCAAGGGAGAGAATATTTCCAAATGGGCTATCTCACATTATTACTTTTAATCATAGTGCTGAAGAGATCTGGAGTTTAATTTTTAAACTGCATAGTCGAGAGTCGAGGTGAAAACTTTGAAACTTCTGGAATCAGAAGCCCGAATTTCATAAGTTCAGTTAAATTTTCGTCAGAAACTCAAGAAGCTATTAAGTTTACCAAGCGTTCTTGACAGTCTATTAAAAGAAGGTTGCATATGCCAATGTTTTTGTTATCATAGTAGAGAGTTAGTTTTATGGTTACAAAAAGACAAAGAAAGTAATATTCTGAGCATAAAACTAGATTTGTTATATAAGCCCCTTGTCTTCTAAGAACATACATATAGAGGGCGTCCCGAAATAAACGAAAAACCCATTACACTTCTATAAAGAAAACTTCCATAATTTAAATGTCCTCCTGGTAAGCAATTACAGAATTTTCAAAATGCAGACTAGAACCACATAGAATTTGGGACGATTATGTGCCTTCCCAATAACATTGGAATGAATCAAGAAATACGAGTGTGACTCAAGCAATTTGATTACCAATTTTGAGAGTTTTATTTATTTTGGGATATAATGCGTTCCTAATAAGAGGAAAGACGCAACGTCAGATTAGCAGTAGGTCTTCCACAGATTATCTTGCCTCAACTGTAATTGCAATTAAGCAAATACCGGATAATTAGTTTTGTGAATATAAAAATTATGGAAACAAAGATATCTTCATAGCACTATATTTTCATTTCTCGGACCTTGGTTATAAGTTCTTCATATAGTGCATAATTTATCCATAAATAAATATATCTTCTCCAATGTCTTTTCTCAGCCACAGGTGGAATATTGGAAATAGCTCGTTCATAAACTTCACGAGTCTTCTCTGGGTCACCTTCTTCCTCAGAGAGACGAAGATAATCAAACCAGGCATCGTAATTATGTGGATTTTCCTGTCAATCAAATTTAGTATTCATTCGTTGAAAAACAGAAAATAATGTGATAAAAAAGTTTTATTCCAATAAATTTGCAAATTTTTAAAATATGTGGGTCATAATTAACTATGAGAGGCCAGGGAAGATGCAAAGTCTGTCTCAGTCAAAAGGGTGGCAGTTTCAAAACAATGTAAAACAATTTGTAAAATTATCAATTTGTATTTCAACCAGTTATTTAATTATAATGCCGAACTGGGTCACATTGACCATTTAATTTAAATTTCAACAGGAAAATCTCAACTAAATAGGCAATCATAAAACGGAGCGGCCCAAGATAATTTAATAGTAATAGATAATCGAGGATCCAAGATCCTCAATTAAAATATTCTTCCTTATATCAGGTGGGTAGTCGTTTATGTCGAGTAAATACTTAAGAATGTCACATGAAAATCATATATATATCTTCCAGCAAACCTTTACTTCTTCTTCATACTGAAATTTTCTTTTACTGACAATAACATTTTCGATGCCTGATCTATTTCCAAATTTCTTTTCAAATATTGTATATGCTTTGAATAATTCTCCTGCGTCCTTTTTATCAATATGATCAAGTGCATATTTGTAGATTACTCTCGCCCTCTCGAACTAAAAAGCAAGAAACAATTATGATAAAAAAGCCACACAATGAGGATAGAGTATGAAGAAATTGGAAAAAATCAGTGTATTCAATCTGTAAGCAGTGTTTGCTATTTATGAGCTATAGAAAATTGAAAATTGCTTTGAAAGCATTGCTCGGGTAATTCAAAAAAACGTCACATGACAGTATCTTTCTTTATATTATTACTTCAAAAACCACCCTTAAGAGTCTTAGACTTTAGCCATATTCACAGTATGATAATCTAAAATATATATGCTGATCATTATTGGACACAGAGTGCACATTGTGCTAAATTGTTATTTTTGGGGTTGGTTGTCCTATTGGATGCGATATTTTACTCCGTATTTTGCTGCTTTCCTCTAATTCGGGGGAACGCTTTTTTATGAACTCTGACCTCAGTGTCCATATATTGTATATATCAGTATTGGTCATCATTAAAACCTGGTATTGAGACCAACTTGATATTACAGAATTATTAAACATCCCAACCTCTTTTTGTCGTTCTTCAAATTTCGCAAACGAAATAAAGAGATTTCTTCCATATAATCTTCCCCGAAAAATTCGAACTGCTCTTTCGAATATCTTGAATAAACATTGGGAAATTAACAAATTTTGCTTATTGGTAACACAAATTATCTTTGTATTAAGAAATGGATTCTTGAAGATCAATACTGAAGACAGGAAACCTAGATTCTTTCATATGAATTGCCAGGACAATATCCAACATACCGTTGGTAAGATATTCTAAAATTCTGATATGGGACACTGTTAAGAATTTTACTATTCTAACTATTTTCATTTTGTATCATAATGATAAAGATCCAGCCCAATTCTGATTGAAAATGCAACATTATACATAAGTATTAAACTCATGAATGCATGAATTCCAAAGCACTTTGTTTAATCCATTATTCAAGCGTTTTATTTTAGATGGCCATTTAGACCAATCTCTTATTCAAATCTTACCTTTCTTGAATTTGTAATATATCCAAATTTTTCTTCAAACTTTCCATATTTTATCCAGTTCTTGACTTGAGGATGAATATATACAAGTGAACATAGCAGTCAAGGTCATTTCCAGGCATAGAAAAATTGGAAAATTCAAATTCGGTATCTATAACCTGTAAGTAACATCAACAAAGCCAGGTACAAAGCTTCAACAACTTGACCATCCTGTCAACAGTCATCAACTAAATATGGTGAAATCAATTCAACGTAAAATTAATTAATTTAAATTCTTCAATATATATCTTATCTGAATTGTGATTTGTTATCACTTAGCGTTTTTGAATATCAAGATTGGTATGTTTGAATAAATGTTCATCAAACTGTTTGTATTGTGAGAAAAAATGCCATGTTAAGAAAGCAATGTATCAGTTTCTTAGTGCACAGTGATTTTCTACGTTGTGACATTCATTAAGCAATTGTGTGCTTGGGTTGAAAAAATTACTTGAAAAAGGATATATCTTTCATGTATTGTTCTTGCTCTGTCAACTTCCTTATATCGTAATTCAAAGTTGATGTAGGATTGCCAAGCCTAAGATAATACAAATAATAACAATTGAATAATAGGAAGCTGAATTTGGATCATCAAATTTGCGCAAAATTTCTTATAGCCTGATTCAGTAATTTTCAATTTAATATTAAAATCATAAACATTTCCTAAATGTTCCAGCTTTGTACATGAAGCATCACGTTTCTATTTTTTTTTATAAAAAATTAAAACACATTTCCCCCTCAACAAGGCTTGGTATGAGAAGCCGCTGTGAGGTAAGAAACTGTTATATTTTGAGAAGACCAGAATCCATCTTAATTTGGGCATTGTCTACTCAGCTTAATACATCCCATGTTAGGTGGTAGACATGGAACCAAAAATTTTTGAGCTATGTTACGATGCCAAAATAGTTAACAATTGATTTTAAACATGAAATAAATTTTATAAAATTTGGATAAAAACTTATCTTGATGCACATTTCTCTTATTCTCAATCTTGAAAGTCTTTCACCATTTTAATTCGCTACCATTTTTTTCATTATTAAAAAATAATTCAACCAATTTAAACCTGTTCATGTGGTTCCCATTCCATCCATCTCTCAAAAACCTGTCGACAAGCTGGAATATTGCCAAGCATTTCTTCCATGTATGTATATTTGTACCTGAAAAATATTATCACATGATCTAATAAAAAATTAATATTCAATTAAGAGAGACGGCTTACAAACTGAATTATATTTGGCAAAGTAGAGTGATTCTCAACATCACATTTCATCGCCACGACAGTTAATTGCAGAAGGCAACAATGGTATTTTTGGTCATCTGGGTGTATATCAATCATTTAATTGATTTGTGTATTTGGTTATATTAAGATTTTTGTTCTGACAGTTAGACCTAAATTAGTTTGAACTTGTTTTGCTCCATTTGTTAATTCCATTTAGAATTAGAAGAAGTAGATAGCCTACTTAAGTTGATAATCTGTAAAAAAACTGCAGTTCAAACTCCAACCCACAAAGACAATTTTTTCTTTCCACTGACACAGAAGCCTCGTGTTTTTCAATAAATGCTTGCTTAAAACCATACTTGAGCATAGGTGTTAATAAACACGCCAGAGATATCAGATACGAAATTCACCAAAGACTGCAACATTCTTTTTTCTCCCTGATCAAAAAACTTAGATTGCCACGCACACATACCATAATTGATTTGCTCTTGGTAGAATAGTGACTGCTCTATCCCAAACGTTTCTTGCATGATTTATTTGTTTGTTTTTCATTTCCATTTCTGCATATTTGTACCATAGTGTAAGATTTCGATATTCAACATCCAGAGCTCGTTCGTGACACTGATCTTGCTCTGAAAATAAGAGTGATTTAAAGGAAAATATTATATTGTATATTGAAGCTGTCCTGAAAAGAACAGAAAATAAAGTAATCAATAATATAGGAGTGATCATTTATTCAATTCGGCAACTTGCGAAGTGCACATACCTGAGAAAACAAATATCATGGGAGGTAACTAGAACAATTATAAAACTTATGAATCTTGAAAAAACTGCTTCGAATAGTTTGATCATACATCTACAGTATTTGTTAATGAGTTTTCACTCGAAGCGGCCAATCAAAATTATATTGATGATTGAGGAACACAGATATCGAGATATAGGATATTTTCATTGCTTTAAAATCCATACTTTTTACATAAATGGGGGCTTCTGCAACAAGAAAAAATCCTCCAAAGCAGGGGTTCCCAACCTTTTTTTCAGGACGACCCCAAAGACAACTTTCAAGTGTCCAGTGCGACCCCAGGTCAATATATATATATTTTTCATGAAACTTTAGAGCTTCTTTCACTGGACTTTTGAGTTTGGTCATGTGGTGGTATTAAGGAAAATAAGCTGAAACCCAACAGTGATGTCACAATAAACACCTACATTTTCAATAACAAAAGCATAGAGTGATGCCTATGTGCCTGTTTTACATTGAGCCATGATACAAACTGCTAAATTTAACATGGTTTGTCAAATCTTAGATGAGTTGTACCTAGTTGCGACCCTACCTATTTATCACTCCGACCCAATTTGGGGTCGCGACCCCTGGTTTGGGAACCCCTGCTCTAAAGGAAGACAAATACCTCTGGATTTCTTTCATGTTATCCTCGAATGCAGCGTACTTCATCCATGTGGATATGTGGGCTCTGTTCTTTCGTAAATTATCTTCAAAAGCCTGAAATTATACAAAAATTAATTTAAATATCCCAAGACACTTCTGTATAAACAGACAATTTGAAGAGATTATACTTTTCTTCTTCTGAGTTTATATTCATCAAGTTCATCTGGATCTGAGATCTTCTGTCTTGGAGGCTAAAATGTAAATCATATTTAAATAAGAAAGAAAGGTTCGTTATATAGACAGTGATAGACACAAATGTCAGAGGGCATGCGATTGCGTTCCCATATAATATATAGTGTTCCGATGGAATAAAAGAAATCAGCAGCGTTTAATTCAGGCAGGGTTGAACAATTATTTTTGCCATGGAGCCATATTGCAATTTCAAATTTTATTACACATTCAAATAATACAAATGTTACTTTTAATTAGAAGAGTGTTTTCCCTGTAGCGCTTCAACAATTCCTTTAATATCAGGTTCAATGGCACACTGGGTAGCGCAGAGTCGACTATCCTAACGATATCCTGCTGTGTTAGCACACAGCTCAAAGTGCTGCAACTTGCCCAGGCCTGATTTAAGGTGAACTATCGGACCATCGGACTGAAGTACCGTAATTGCCTCTAACGACTTCTTCCATATTTTAAGTATTGAAAATTTGAAATCCATTGCCAAAAGCAATATTTTAACAAAACCAATTTGTCAAACAATCCATATGTATATTTCAAGTCCAATAATGAAAATCAGATAACAAAATTTCACAAATTTGGGTTTTAAACTTACAGGAGCAACATTCTCTAATTCCCTTTCTTTTGCTTCTCGAAGAAGTTGTTCAGCAGTGATTTGCACAGGAGCTGGAGCTTTGTTCTTCACCTGAGATCGAATAATGGGTATACATAAAATAGCCATGAATTTATAGGTTATGAAAACTGCACATATTAAAAAAATGTGACTTTTATAGACAACTCGGATTCATAAATTCTCTTCAGCTCAGCCATAAAACATAATACAAATTAATCATTGGATAATTTTATGGTCGAAAACGAAAAATACACACAAATTTTAAAAATAAACACTTGTTAACTAATATTTTTATGACATGTTTTAAACCCTGCATAACAAGGCTCTGAACAACCAGTCAATAATATAAGCAACTTCAAACCAAGCTATGCCGTTTCCTTTGATTAAAAAATATGTTACCTTGGCCACTTTGGGCATTTTCTGTTTTCCACCCATTGTTGGTTCATGCATTTTGACTTTAGATTGATGATTGAACTTAGATTTCAACAAAATAATACTATTGGATGCTCGTAATATAATTAGATATACGGTAAACCAAAAGAGAGAATCCGAACGTTAATTTTAATTGATTGCACTGAAAAAAAGGTCGGTTGGGCGATAAAAGGAAAACACAATCGGAAAACATTTAAACCTCGGAAAATTTCATTATTTTTCTAACTTCAGACAGAAAAATGATTTAGTTACAATAAATATATATAACAGTGAGTCAGTTATTCAATATCAAATAAAGATAAATAATAAAGGCAGTATTTTGTACCATATAAAATAAGTTTATATGATCATGAAATTTTATTGTTTTAAAATGAAAATGATATTTTAACACTTTCCTTTCGACTAAAATTCTTCAAGAAGTATATCAATTTCATATGCAAGGTGTCTTGCCTAGTTATTCGATTTTTGAAGAGGCTGAAAATTTTTTTAAATGGCAAGAAATACTATACTACTATATTGTAGCACTATATCATTTCAAACTTCATGTTTGAAATAGACACCATCCTGCCATCTGTATTGCCCGACATAATTTTATCAGATGACCTAAGAACTTATTATCATCTTGCATTCGGATGCTGAATAATGACCAGAGAATCAGAATCAATATCTTGAATAATATGATCCATAATAAGTCCGTAAAATTTATCATTTTCTGTGAATGTCATGTGATTAAAATTCACTGGTTGATATTTCCAACCTAAGAAAAAATTACATCTTGAACAAGCAGAAATTCTCCATGAATATCCAGGAAACCAAGTCGCTTCTGTATGTGCGTCTTCATTTGATGTTACAGAGGCTTCAGAAAAAGTTACAACTTCAAATTGAGCACCTTGTGGATTTTCAAATTTTTGTGTAGTTATATGTGGCTTTCCTAAAATTGTTTTGTTCCACCTTTGAAGTGCAAGTTTACTTGGAATGGAAACAAGATCTTCAGCTTGGGCCACAGTTTCACCACATCGTTTGCATATGAACTTGCCAGTTTGGGTACGATGACTTAAGCCAAGTGAAGTCACATACATAATTACCACAAAATAAAAGTTCCACATATTCACAATACAGTGTATCTAGTGTTTCCACTACGACTTAATGCCACAAAAGTGGGTTTTACCTGAAATCATACAAAGAATATAGGAAATCTACTAAGTATTTGCAATGTGATTGGCTATGACCAAAATACAATAGTTTAATTCATTCATTTGTATGTAAGTTAGACCTTCTGTTATTTATGATTGGGTAAAAAAGCCTCAATAGTATTGCGAAAAGGGACAGGACTGCGAAGAGATTATAGCTTAATCATAAAGACCATTGTGCAAAAAAGTTGCTCTGATGTGGGGAAAATAAAATATAATTTTCTTAACCAAATAATTTGATTTAAATCAGAAATTTTTCGTAGAATTGATCCAAGTGATTTTCTGCTGGAGCTCCAGCTACATATTTCATTTTGGATAGGCAATGTCAAAGGTCACGTCCCAAACAAATTGGTTCTATATGATAAGGAATACAGGAATAGTTATGTCGGCACATCCCACAGCAGCATTAAATCACCCACCAAAGTTACTTTAGCCTACAATATCATGGCGATCAGAGGTTTAAACATGCATATATTTATGGTAGTTTCAACAAGCATACTTAATGAAATTAGTTATGGGGCTAATAACATGATCTTTAACATCAAAACCAATCTACACAATCAAATGTGCCGCGGTAAACTACACTAAGAACTTGGGTAACCAGAATTGTGGGGTAGCTTAATACAAATTGTAAAAAATGAAATTAAAATTGACTGCTTGAGATAAATTTATCAACATGCAAAAAAATTATAGTCAACATTTTAGAAAGCCAAGTGATATATATATATATATATAATATAGCCAGGTCATATGAGGAATAAGCTCAATATTTAGTGTTCCCATCCTAAGTTAATACAATGTGGGGACTGGGAAATGTTTCAATTTCAACTTTTTAACATTGCAACAGGAAATCTTCCATTTTTCTTGGTAAATTTAAGCAGGTAATATGTTTGGAACAAATCAGGCCTTTGACTTTAATTATATAGCAGCGTATCACCCATCTGGTTAAATCAACCAAGGATGGAACATTTTGAACTAGAATTCCATGCAGAAGATTATCAACATTTGCAACCACCAATGGCAATGAACTATTATGTGAAATCGATAAAAATGGAAAATATCTCAAACAAAGTGATATTTTGGATAGATTTCTCAGATAATGCGGATACCGACTATTTAGGATTAAGCGATCTTGTAAAACTTTATGTCCGCTGATTGAATATGATAAGTTAGGAAATGTTTCACAGTTGAATCGTAATTCCAGTAGTCCTGCATTCAAAAACTCATTTAAGACCACAATATTAACGTCATTAAATCTCATGGGCAAAATAAAATATTTGAAATACAAATGTTCTTCCCTTCTCGCAAGATCCGAAAATAAAGTATCATTTTCAATGAGTATTTTAACAGTACTTGAGAAACTTTCAAAACCATTGTTGTGACCTAATAAAATATCCCATACGCTTTCACCTGCAATTTTAATATCCGAATGGAAAGTTGAATATCCTTTTCTGAATAAATATAATAAACAATCATTGTGCCTATTAAAAGCACTCAAAATAACTGCAGAAATACAACAATCTTTCGGAGTAATTTTTGCAAGCAATTTAACAACGGGAAAATGTCCTTTTTCAGCTGCTACTGTTAATGGAAAACTTTTTAAGCCCATATGATCAATATACATACACTTTAATGGATCAGCACCTTTGTTTAACAGCAACCGTACTATATTTTCATTTCCATTTTGCGCAGCTAAATATAAGGGCGTACAATCTGTGATATCAGTTGCATTCACATCCTTAACTTCATTGATCAAAAGTTTCACAATCTCTTCATTTTCAATAGAAACTGCCACATGTAATGGTGTCTTCAAGTCATCTGAATCTTGCACATTTACATCAGCCCCATTTTGTATTAAAAATTTTGTTGCTTGAATATTTTCTTTTTCAACAATTACATGTATTGGATAATCACCACTTCGGGAATCCTTCATGTTAACATGCATTGGGAATTCATCAACTAGAATTTCAATACATTTATTATGCCCATTTTTGCAGGATTCATGGAGAGGATATCCCATTTTGTCAATTCCCAATTCCGATTCTTTGTACAAGCTCATGAGATGTTTAACAACTTCAACATGGCCTTCACTAGAAGCAATAGATAACGGTGTTTCTCGATCAAAAGCAGATGGGAATACACAATCCAAAATCTCTCCGGTAGATTCGCAATCTGACATTGCCGTTTCCAAAAGTATCTTAACACACTCGATATGACCGCCAAATGCTGCTTCATGCATAGGATACCATCCCCTGTTATCTTTGATCGTGTAATCCAAGCCCTTCATCAAAAGTTCATGCAAAACTTGAGAGTTTCCTGCCCTGGATGCTGCTCCAATGCTTGAACAGGCATCTGGGTATGCAGATGCAAACACATCCATATGACTTTATAAAATTATTGCTGCAAAGGTATATGGAACCCTGAATATACAGATATGTTGCAGATTTAATCATGTGGTGGTGAAGCCTAAGTGTAAATGAAACTTCTTCATAGTTGATCAAAAAATAATGGAAGGCTGAAATTTAAGAAAACAAATTGAAATTTTTTGATTTTACTGGTATAGCATAAATTTAATATAAAACAAAATTGCAGTATTTAAATAAAAATAAATGGATTTTTCAGAATAAATCAATCACAAAATTGATACATGCTGAATCATTTACAGATAGAGTTGTGGTATATGCTTGCAGATTTTAATCCAAAAATTATTTTTTTGATTGTTTGTATGAGTGCCCTGTCACTCAATTTTTGCATATATCAATCCCAACCCCCACCTGACTGCGTTATCCAAAAATTATGTTACTACAACGTCACAGTGACATAATAAAGCCCTTCAAACTATATGAACTGTCATCAAAGACGCGCAGACAATCACCCAAAATCGAGCAAGCTATTTCTCGTCACAGTGCCCGCAGTGATTCCAATATGAGAGAAGTAGTAAGTTCTTTATCGTCGGCACAGATGTCATTTCAGGCGATCATATGTATACTTTGGCAAGCTCTATGACATGATTGTGATGGCGTAGTGATGTGATTTTTGGATGGCGAAGTCAGGAAGTCAAAAATCGTTATGCTACGCCCACTAGAAGTACTTGAGGTAGAAAAATACCTGAGACCCTGTTCATTGTTTTGTTCGAGAATATGTGAGACGATACGTCTACATACTGACATAATGTGTAATGCTGCAATGTGTAAGTTAATGATCTCCTGATCTTATAAAACTGTAATATTACTCTCTTTTCAGCTTTTATGATCTCAGAATCTCTTACTGTTGTACTGTCTTATAAAATTTATGCTTACTGGCAAACTGGATTAGGTAGCCTACCACAATTGTTCAGGTTGGATGAGGTTTGCTTTCTTTCTTCTTCGAACTGTCAAGTCTGCAAGTCAATGCTCAAGGCAAGTGAATGTGTTTAATAACTCATTTTAGATTTTGCTCAGTTCAAGCAGTCAAAAATTCTTCGCTTTTATCCAGTTATCTTATTCGTGTAATGTTTTATCTTTGTGAACAAATCCATGAATAGATTCGGTAGATAGTTTATTCGAATACTCTATACTGCCATAATACCGGTACTGTAATATACACAAATTTAAAGTGGAGAATTCTGGAAACTATTTTAATTAAATAACTACCGGTACTGAACTACAGTATTAAGGTAGGATAGGATAGGATTTACATATTTATCCCGGGGGAGAGGAAAGCCGATATGACGGCTTATCCATATGGCGAACCACGGCCTCTCGTCCGGTTATCGGTACCATTCCAAGTCGGGTATGGGATTAGTTACGGTATATTGTTTGTTTTCGGAAGCATGGACTTGGTGGTGGAGGAAGCCGTAACCGACCAGCGGTTACGTGAACCACCCAACGACGGCGAGGAGTCCAGCAATCCTCTCGCACATAACCATCCCTGCATGGGATTCGAACCTGCGAACCCACGCAGAGTAATTAGAGGTGCGGTGGCGAGCGTATTCCTAACGCTTAGCCCGTTGAGCCACACCGCCGCGCCAAGGTACTCAACTCTTTACGTATTCTTGTCAAGATAATTAAGGTACCGGTAACAGAGGACAAGAGGAAGGACAGAAAGAGTTGTCTGGTTGTAGAGGAAGAACGGCTGCTGTCCACTCCACACTACAGCACTAGTCTAAAATTTGTGATTAGACTACTTGATAATAACATTTCTGTGAGAGTTCCCCTCGTACATTCGTACTGAATGGCTCACGCTTTTAAACTGAAATATAATAGTGCAAAACGCGATAGTGCAAATAGTGCAAAACGATACACCTGTGCTGTACACAGATATACCGGTATGTAATATTACCGATAATTTAGTAAAAAAATATCTTGCTCACCAAATGAAATATGGTTGTTTTCTCAACCTTTGACCCTATAAAAATATTTTCTAGACGTCACAATTAATGTTCCCCCGAGAGTGAGAGAGAGAAAGAGCTATTTTTTTTTTGTTTATTCCTAGAAAAAGGTGCAATCAGTAATAAAGCAACGATGGCTTATTAATAAAAATCTGTACAGTTGCCCTGATATTTCTTTCGCTCAGGATTTGTCAATTTATTTTGTATTTCAATGAACATTTTTTACGTGTATGAACCATCTGCAATTTCGTCAACAAAGTCCAGAAATCAAAGAACGGGTAATCAGTCTTGGCGGGCTAATGTGTCGTTGGCTTAGTTAGCTTATTCTCAGGAATGGAACTTGGCAGACAGTTGGATAACTTCCTACTTCCCGTATGGTAAGGTTTTTTCATATGTCTAACGGAATTAATGTGTTCGTTAATTGGACGAAAAAAATTATTCCTCGCATAAATTTTTGTAGGCTTTATCTCCCGAACTCAGTTACAGTGACGATTTTGTCGATAAAATGAGGGGAAATTTTCTACTTTTAATCAGTGAGTTTTTAAAATTTTAATATTTGTTTCATACGGTATGTAACGGTATACGGTATACGGTATGCTGATTTTTTTTTTTAATTTGAATATGTGTTTTATATATGTCTATCAAAGTTACAGTGTTTATAAATTTGATCAGAAAATATTTATCATGTCTTAAACCAGTTTAATAAACTATTTTATTGATATTTTCAATATATTGGAGAAAATTTTTGATTTCCAAACATTAATTCGCTTGACCGGGTGAAAAATGTTTTAATCATACTCTTTTATTATATTTCTCGTCTTTCTTTGTTTTGAAAAAGTGGGATCGCCTCGTTAATCGCAATCATCGTGTAGATCAGCGTTGTCCAACCTTTTGGGCTAAAGGGCCACATTTGGTTTACGAATGATTGCGCGGGCCACTTGCAATGGCAGTTATGTTCTAGTTTGCACCACGCTGACTACGGATTAATGAAAAAACAAACAAAACCCCCAAACCAAACTTAGAAGAACAATGAAAATACAAAGATACAGTAAAATCAAAAGTTTTTACCACACATAGATATTTCAATATGAAGTATGGCACTGCTTTTATCTAATATGTTTGTCAATATTCGTTGCGACGGGCGATGTAGCAATGCAGAGAGAATTTTTCTGAATGACTGTCAGAATTTAGTGATCTCACGGATGATATGACATGGTTCATCCGTGAAAAAACTTGCTCGTATAAGTAAGTGCTGTCTAATATTGAGATCATAAAAACTGCCTCTTCTAGCTTCCCAGAAAAAAAAACAGATTGAAATACATGACAAACAATAAAAATAAATTCAAACATCTCTCTCCAGCAATAACACCCACAAAAGGACATAAAAAGGGACGATAGGTGTGTGGTGACCGTGTTTCTCACGCGTTTGAATAACAAGGAATAATTTTTTTATTAGAAGTTTCAATAATGGCTCAGATTTGTGAAAGACAATGGGGTTCGAATATTACCGCGTGGGCCACTCGAAAACCTTCGGCGGGCCACAGGTTGGACGACCCTGGTGTAGATAATCTGTCACAAAACAATTAAATATATTCAAATCTAAAAGTTCTAGGAATGATTGAATTGAAAAATTCATATGTGGATGGTTTCTCCCTTCTTTCAAACAATTCTTTAATCCTATATATACAGCTATAATTTAATTGCATTCTGTTTTACAGCCTTCAAAAAAATTGATTACTAAATAGGTAATGAATATGAGTGATAATCCTCCACCAACTTCTGTAGAAAACAGTTCTGTGACAGATATAAAATGTGAAGATGCTTCTACTCCATCAATAATTACAAATCCATTAAAAAAACTTCCTGTCAAAGATGACAAAATTAAACTAAATCAGCATTATTATTGCATGCGAAGTGATGATACATGGCACAATGCAGAAGTTCTTCAAACAAGAGTGAATGCATTACATGACGATAGACATGAATATTATGTGCATTATCACGGCTTAAACAGAAGACTAGATGAGTGGGTTGAGTCTTCTCGTATTGATACTGCGAGAGTCGTTCCTGAGAGTGATATTGAAGCTGTAAAAGATGGTGATGCAAAAGATGGGGCTGATAATCGTATGACAAGAAATCAAAAGCGGAAACATGATGAGATTAATCATGTTCAAAAATCCTATGCAGAAATGGATCCGACGACTGCAGCATTAGAGAGGGAGCACGAAGCTATCACCAAAGTGAAGTATATTGACCGAATTCATATGGGGAAATATGAAATTGAAGCGTGGTACTTCTCACCTTATCCTGACGAATATGGAAAGCAACCCAAATTATACATATGTGAATATTGCTTGAAATATATGAAATTTGAAAAAACCTACAGACGGCATTTAGGAGAATGTGAATGGCGACAACCTCCCGGCAAAGAAATTTATCGTCGAGGGAATATTTCGGTTTATGAAGCTGATGGAAAAGAACATAAAATATACTGTCAGAATTTATGTTTGCTAGCAAAGTTATTTCTTGATCATAAAACTCTTTACTTCGATGTGGAACCATTTCTTTTCTATATCCTTACAGAGGTTGACCAGTATGGTGCACACGTTGTTGGGTATTTTTCAAAAGAGAAAGAATCTCCTGATGGAAATAATCTTGCTTGCATTTTAATATTGCCACCATTCCAGCGTAAGGGTTATGGAAAATTCTTGATAGCCTTCAGTTATGAATTATCAAAAGCAGAACATCTTATCGGATCTCCAGAAAAGCCGTTATCAGACTTGGGAAAGCTGAGCTACAGGAGTTACTGGTCTTGGGTTTTATTGGAGATTCTGAGAGATTTTAGGTAAGAATGCTGATGCCAGTTGCGAATTGTGTCCTCGTTTCGAAAAAACAAAATTATGATATAGTATGGTTTCTCCCAAAACAGCTTTCAACCCATTAGCTGGATTGTGAACTGCTGTGAATATGAATCGATATGAAATAAGTGAAAAATCATTGTTGGAATCTGTGCGATTCAGACACATAAAAAAGGATGGAGCCCTATTACAAAGTCATTTAAAAATTAATATGTTTCACAACTATTCCACCCTGTTTTTATGTCACTGTTGCATTTTGTTTTATGTACTTTTTTGTCCTGTATTGAGTCGAGATTGTTAGAAAATTGTTGTAAATATACTTTTATGAGGAATGGGCTATGGCTAGCTAGTTGGCTATTTATTGAACTGGAGGACAATGGTCTATCATTTATTTGAGTCGTCTTATATCAGTTTTTCACCTTTTAAATTCTGCCGACAATTATTTATATTTAGAATGATCATTATGTTTACAGGGGAACTCTATCAATCAAGGATCTGAGTGAAATGACAAGTATCACACAAGCGGATATCATTTCTGCATTGCAGTCTCTCAACATGGTAAAATATTGGAAAGGACAACATGTTGTCTGTGTCACACCAAAACACATTGAGGAACATATGAAATCACAGCTGATCAAAAGGCCACGAATTCCTGTGGACAAAACATTCATGAGGTGGCAGCCTCCAAAGAGAAAGCCAGGTGTGAAAAAGGAAGGTATCCACCACAAAAAATGAAGATTGTCAACTGTTGACAAAACTATATGAACTAATTACAGAATACATGTGAGGCATTCTGACTGAATCTTTTCATATTGCCAATCGCCATTATTTTATTAAACTGCTTCTCACTGTCTTTGTTGTACTCAAATATCTTGTTGAAGATGTTAGCACAGGAAGTCTGTTTATTTTGGACTCCGTATAAAACCATAACTATAGCATTGATTTAAGAGGGGCTCGACACCATGAACTGAAATAAAACACAAGAAACTTTCAATCTATTACTCATCCAACGGCAGGAATAATTTCACACAGAGGATACACCTACCGAAGGGGGGTCTGCTTATTTTTGGGCTCCATATAAAACCATAACTATAGCATTGATAGCGGTATAAACTGAAACAAAGCACAAGAATTTTGTTGTATTTTTCATCCATGAAACTTGGATATTACTATATGCAGAGGTCACCTACTTGCATGATAGTCAGGGGATAGATTCTCCTAGTGAGATATTAATTGGGTGTAGCTGGCGAGGTGTGAAAAATGATCCTGCAGACATCAGACCAGGTGAAATTCTGTTGTGGGTAAATGTATTCTTAATTCCCCAATCAGGCGCTATTTGACATATTTTGGCTCTAAATGTACACGGACTGGCAGTCAAGAAATGCGAAGATTGCCAACCAATTTATGCATGGAACTGCGGTACTTGCATATTAAACAAAATGCATGCAACACCAAACATTACTTTGGAACTTCTCTAATGTAATACCCATCATTCATACACTTTTTATATTCAAGAATGTAATGTAGTAATAAAATGCAAAGCATTTTTTCAAACAAACTTCAAAATGCTCACATTTACTGACAAATGAACTTTTTTGAGCATTTTGCACTGTTAGATAGTGCTAATAATGTCACTGAAAGTCCTGGTAGAAAAACTCAGTCTCTTCTCAGAGGGAAACGTTCTGTCTTCACACCATTGGCATCAATAATATGAATAAGAACACTATCTCCAGTCGTTATATCTCGTTCAGCAGCAGATATGAAAGCATCTTTTACTAGCTGTAAACCTTTCTGTTTCGTAAGAGGTATTTTTGGAACATTTTCCATATTCTTGAATCCTAAAAAAGAATATTTTATCATGTAACTTGTTAAAAAATCATTGTTATATAATAACAACATACCTATCTGATTGTCCAAAAGAGGTTGCAACAATTCAGCAGCTGAACCTTCTGCCCTATATGCTTCACGTTCATAACATCCAACCGGATCGTATGAATACACACAACCTTTGCCTTCATCATCTATGCCAGCCAACAGGTTGTAAACATAGTAAGGAAAGAATCGCTTGTAATAAAGGATGGTTGATAGCATGGCGGCTATTGCACTGACACTTGGCTTCTTGCCGTGCTCATGCTCATATAATTTTATTCTATTTTGTATGACCTTTTTTAGGGTCAGACTATCTCCATGAAAACCTGCAGCTCCCAGCACAACTTTGGGGGTTAGCTGTAAAGTTTTCGGTTCTTCCCGGCTGTGTATAGAGAAACCCTGACTCAGCCTGGTATCTGCTGCAATTATGGCAAAATCATCTCCTGAAATCGCCAATGTATTACCACCGTTTGAAGCATATGGGGAAAAATGTTGCTGCTTTGGTGCATTGATTCCATAGGTTTGAAGTTTTCCAATACTATCCATTTTTTTATTTTTGACCTGTATCGTGCATAATTAATCATGAAATAATAATAAGTGAGTATTTAATATAGAATAATTTTAATATATAAGCACCACAGCTAATGAACAATGAGAAATTCGTAACACCACATTTTTTACTTTCAATAGTTGACACGGAAAAGTAGGGAATTAACTATCCATATTTGCAATACGATTTACATATTTATCCAGAGGGAGAGGAAGTTGACTACAATGTCACAATCGATATGGGATTAGTCCGCGGCGGTGTGGCTCAACGGGCTAAGCGTTAGGAATACGCTCGCCACCGCACCTCTAATTACTCTGCGTGGGTTCGCAGGTTCGAATCCCATGCAGGGATGGTTATGTGCGAGAGGATTGCTGGACTCCTCGCCGTCGTTGGGTGGTTCACGTAACCGCTGGTCGGTTACGGCTTCCTCCACCACCAAGTCCATGCTTCCGGAAACAAACAATATATAACTAATCCCATACCAGACTTGGAATGGTAACCGGACGAGAGGCCGTGGTTCGCCATATGGATAAGCCGTCTTATCGGCTTTCCTCTCCCCCGGGATAAATATGTAAATCCTATCCTTTTTAGACATATGGACTCAATGATGGAGAATTACAACAGTCCTCTTCCACATACTGACATAGTTAGGCGGAATTCAAGCTTACAAACCCAAGCACACTAATCAGAAGTGCGATGGCAAGGGTACCGTACCGGTACCGTATTCCTAATGATGAGCGTGATTCGCCATACGGTACCGGTACTATAATTGACATTATCAGACTATGGGTGGTAATAAACCTCACTGCCTATAAAATAGATTACCTGAATACCAAAGTTGCTTATTTCAATACCGGTAGATTCTGAAATCTGGAAAATGTGAAACTGATTTAAAAATTACAGATCTATCTAAGATTCTAACGTAGATTTTAAACTCTTAAATGTTCTTGACAGTAATATGCTTATACAGCTAACTTATAGGTATAGAGTCAGCAGCGCAACCTAACCGTAATTTGAGCTACAACGTAGAGTTTTAAACACGAAAGTCGCTCAGCCTCCGATCGAATCGAAAATTACAACAGAACGCATTATTTAGTAATGACGCAGCTAAAATAAATTGCCGTATCATGAAACGGATGGCTGAATTCGTCATGCCGTGCCAGATTTTCACGTTGAAATTTATGTTGTACTCAGGGAGAATACAACACTGATTGTTCTTGTTGACTTATACTGAAATTGGGTGGATTAGCCAGGTGGAAATTTTCATAAGTACCTTGACAGCAACATATATGTGTAAATAGTTTGCAGTGTAACTTACAGTGTAACATTTTTAAACATTCATTTAGTGGCATATTTTTTGATTTGTTCTCTCTGTCATCTGTGTGTATACTGGTACTGTTTTAACAATGTTGGCAATGTCAATGTATCAATTAGGCTACAGACCTGCTCACGTGTGATTAGTGTTTTTCCTAATAATTGCTTTTATGAGTGTCCGCACACCGAATTTGCCGCCATGGTTTTGCGTTTGTTTGTATATTAAACCACTTATCACCTTTTCCGCAATGCCCAATCTAGCAATCAGTGTAGTTTTTCATGGCTTGGTTTTTCTTAAAGCTTTCATGGCTTCATGAGTATGACTATCGTCGCAAATTTATTACATTCCACTCCCCACATTATCTTTGCATGAGGTTGTAGGTATTGGTCATTATCAACGTAATTGTTGAAAGAGAGTACAACAGCCCGAGAAAGTTTATTACTATCGTGTATTTTGTTTTTTAAGTTTGGCCCAAGCCTCATTTAATTGGGCTTGTGTTTTTGTGTGCGTGCTGGTGGGCAGGCACATGAGATACTTCATGTTTTAAACTTTTTTGTAGGTTTTGCTTGCCCTCCAGAATTCTCCATTTTAAATTTAGGTTTGTTATGGAGTTTTCGAAATAAACTATCTATCTATCTATAAACTAACACATCACTGCGGTACCGGTACCTCCATTTTATGTTCTGCCAGTGCTGGAGTGAATAAATTGCCGAGAATAAAGTTCCGAAATAAAGTGTGCGAAATACAAATGGCACGGTGCCGGTACCTTTCTTAATGGTACCGTACCGGTACCGATACTTGCTGACTTCTGTACTTGACAAATTTATCTTACAATATTGTTCGGCACCGCTATAGTGGCATATTTCTCATGATGCCTTTATCATTATGATCAGTTGAAACAATTTCAGAATTAATGAAAAACTTTTTATTTTTTTACTGGACTGCCGCCTTAGAGCCTCATTGTCTGTCACAGTTGTTTTTCATGTTCTTTTATTAACGTTTGGTAACCACAACCAGTAGCTAAATACTCAGACATCATTACTGTATGTTTTTGAATAGAATAATATAGACCACAGTATCTTATGTTTATTTTTTTATTTTGTTATTATGTCTTAGTGATTGTATGTGTGTGTGCTTGCGTGTTTTTATTATTTTAACACTATTTAAGTGATGAACATTGTATCACTTCTTTTGATAGCCCCTTACAATTTAAAATCTGTAGGCTACGTCTCAAACAGTACATAAAGTTTTAGGGTCCAGTAGCTATAGTTTAGTACTACAAGTACTTCCAGTGGGCGTAGCATAACGAATTTTGCATATGTTATTACTAACCCTCACCTGACTATGCCATCCAAAAATTAAGTCACTACAACGTCACCTTCACGTCATAGTGCTTGCCAAAGTATCATTACGATCGCCCGAAATGGCATCTGCGCCGCCGATAACAAACTCGCCAGCACCGGCAATCTTTCTGCGCGTTTTGGACGATCATCCGCTTACTTTGGTGGCCTTATTACGTCACTGTGATGTCGCAATGTCAGGTGAGGGTTAGAAATGACATATGCAAAAATTGTTGAGCCAGGCCAACTAGAAGGGCATGTGGTACTAAACTATACCAGACCCAAGTTTTGTTTGCTCACCTGATACTGTAATCAGTTTTAATTATTTTGTTATTATCAATTATTATGGTACATTATGCTGATTATGGAGTCGAAATTAACATTCACTTATTTTATGTCAGAATGTGATTAATGTCACACTATTCTATGTGACAAATATCTAGATAATTTAACATAACATTTTAGATCAATTTCATGAATCTAGGAAACATGCCTGGCCAAAGATAATTCGAAGTCTTAAATCTTAAAATTCTTAGCTCAGTGGTTGGCTCATCGTGACCTCTGATAACCCTCGGTTTCTATCCTGATTTCTCATACCAACTTATTTCATTGGTAGGTTTAAACAAGCATAATACTATTGGATGTCTTCAGATACAAGTTAAAATCCTGTGGATTAAAAGATGCAAAGCATTCTTAGATACTTCAACCCTTCAATTAATGCAGTAAGGTAAAATGAATTTTTATTATGTTAAAATTCAAAATCACAGGAAAAAAATGATTATTAGTGGTTATTTTATCTGTCAAGGCAATAGATTATTTTTTGGCTCACCTCTTTATTTTCTATGAAATATTTTTATCATGTAAAAAATGCCAACAGGGGATTCTACACATGCTGCAATGTAAAGGCACCAAATCCTGCACATTATGACAATCAAACATTTTATGAAAATGTGAATTTCGGAGAAAAACATCACCCAGGCAATGTTAGAGACAGACATCGGCAAACGAAGGCTATGCAGAGGAAAGCTTTTCAAAAACTTACCCGGGTAAGGGTAACTGACAATAGTGCACTTGCATTGCAGAGCTATTATCGTTATCCCCGAGTGATACAGGTCTACCATAAAACTGGATATGGAAGGGTGGGTGACACTGTACTTTTAGCAATAGGAGGACTGATGAAAAGAGCACTTATTATTGGTCAAAAGAGATCAATGGGCCCCATGAAAGCAAGGATGGATTCTAATAATGTAATTTTAATAAATGATGATGGTACTCCAGATGGCACAAGAATTACAGTCCCAGTGCCATCTTTTCTTAGAGGAATTCAATCTGCAAAGCAGAGAGTACAAATTTCTAAAGTCATTGCAATTGCTGGGAGATTTGTATGAAATACCTTCATGTTAACTGCTTCACCTTTCTTTCCTCAGTTATGCATGTTAATCCAACAATGCGATGGAAGCTAAAACTGGAGGTTTGTTCAGCTTTCCATCTATTGGTTAGATTGTCTAACCTAGTTATATGCTTCTGCTAAATATGAGACCATTGTGGAGATTGGTATATCGCAATTGTGCGAGAATCTCACAAATTTCTTTGTATGCATTGTATTATAAAAGTATTGACACCTTTTATGTGAAATATGATTGTTGACAAATCCACAATGTTGGATTAGTATTGTTGTGCTTGTTTGGGTTGAACATTTGTGGAGGTTGTACCATGAACTTTTGTATACTAATAAGTCAAGCGCTGGTGCAAAATCAGGAAAGTTCATCCCTATTTTGCTTCATATGATTGTGTAAATATTGCCATTTGCTGAACTATACCTACCAACTATTGTCAAATGATGCCTAGTACCAACGGGAACCAGGACCCCTAAAACAGGATTTCGATTGGTTTTTTTTACAAACACAATGTAGTGAATGCAATATTGCATAAATGCTTATTGCCAGTGAGATATTGCAATGTCTTAGTTGTACATTACATTTAACAAATAATCATGTAAACCAGTCAACGTCTTAGAATACATAAAAATTGAATATAAGTATAACAAGTTTATTTCGACTCCATAATCAGCACAACAATGCATTTGACAGATAAAAACAAATAACTAAAAACTGATTATGAAATCAGGAGAGCAAACGAAACCTTAGATAAGGTTTATAACGTACAAAATATAAGATGGAAGGTTTTGCCAAGAAGAAGTGGGACGTGTTTACTCGCCTCAAATTATTAAGTTATTTCACACACGCTCACATGCACCCACCAGCCACACACACACACAACCACTGAGAAGTTATTTAAGTAAGAATAAAACGCGATAAATTTAGGGTATACTATACAGTAAACAAAAAAAAATACTAGAAAAGAAAAAAATTATTTGCCACACCATATTGATAATTTTGTAATGGTTACCATTGCCAAATTGATCGATCTTCTTTTCGTTAATTAAAATGTAAAAGGAAGATTCTACTGAAAACATATTGCCAATCCTACTGAAAACATATTGCCATACTTACACTTCCATTTTGAATTTATATAATAAAAACCTTTTTTTGTAATTGGAAGTGCCAAAATATTTGTGGCCATCACTATTTTTACCAGAATAAGTATTAAAATAGAGTGTGGAGCTAGCTAATTGAATTTTATATTTATTCCCACATTTTCCGGATACCCATCACTAGGGATGTCCATATCCGAATACTAAACTATTCCAGAATAACACTAAAAAAACATTTCGAATTTCTTGAACCAAAACAATACTGCACCAGTGTTCGAATAACTTTATTCCCAACTAGGGCTGGGCAAAATATTCGAATAGCGAATCGAATATCCAGATGGCATTTTACTATGCGAATATCCGGTACCGCTTTGATTGGGCACGGAATTCGCGCGCCTCTAAATTAATCCGGAGTTGCGCGAAAATTCACCCACGGTGCTCGTTAACAAAAGCGACAAATTTGGGAAGTCGTTTTATTTGCGTTATGATGTTATTTACTTTCTCCTTGCGCTCAACGTATCGTTGCAGTTCTCTATTTTGCAAAAAAAAACGTACCGACCGTTCCGTAAATTTAGAAACGTCATACCAAATTTTGGCAAATTAGGTATTTAAAATAAATTTCCCAGATTTTAAACTACGTATGCTTCGCTACTTGTTATCAGCCATTTTCTGCAGGACTTTGCATGACATAAAATTTATTAAAATCAAGAGATAAAATAACGTTTTCGAGAGACCATACACCGTGAAAAGAGTGATTTCAGGTCATTAGAAAATTCGAGTTATATAAATAGCATCGATTTGAAAATAATCCGTCAAAGTTTATCCGAAAGCTGGTACAAGTTGCTTGTATCAAAAACACTTATTAAATTGTATCCAGCTAATAAATGACTACTACCTTTATAACGTACTTCCTGTTAGCTCTTTTGTGATCCCTTCCATCCTTGGCCAAGTAATGTTTCGAATACGTGAACAATTTACTCGACCATGCATGGCCGATGTATTAAAGTGTTAAAATTGTAAACAAGAGTAGAACGTAAAATCAATCGTGAATGTCGCTGTAACAATGCACACTGGCTCGTTTACGAATTGTTGCGCCTATTATCATCGGAAATCATTACAATTGTTGTCTTTTGAAGCATTTTAGCAGTAACAATTAAGGCGTAACATCAAAATTGTTTAGTGAAGTGTTAAATTTGCAAATTCCGTGAATAAAATTGTGAATTACTCGCTAACGATTATAGCTATAATAAAACGACCGCCGGGGTGTTGTTTTGTTGAAAAAAAAGGGTAAAACCTGAGGGAATTAGTTATAAGTAGCCTCTGATCCTCTATTAGGCACAAAAAAACGTAGAAATGCCTTTATAGTCAACTCATTTAATCACTATTTCAAATCAACATTTAGGATTCACGCAATCGCAAATTTGTGAGGTTTATCTATCTAAGACGAAAATAACACAGACACCATAGAATAAATATCCGCATCCCGGTGCGATAATAATATTACCGTTCGCTGGGACGGTTAATTTACAAGTGGTGTTAATAATATAAATAAAGCTAACGTGAAAGATAAAAATCAGAATAAAATTAATTTGGGTTTTGAAATCAGTCCTTAATGTTTAACAGCTGTTACCGATGTGAACGCACGGGTATACTTGAAATATAAAACTTCGATATCCGCCGACCCACAAGAAAAAATATCTGCAAAAGTTTTTTTCTGAATTACGGTAATTAAATAAAAGAAACTGTTGGTCAGGGATGGCCAATACCGAATATTTCACTATTTCGAATACATTCGAAATTATTATTTTCGATTATGAAATTTCGAATACTTCGAAAATAAAATCCACTAATTGAAGCTTATCTAAATGTATGTAGGAATTTCCATACAAAGAGCAATGGAATAACTGCTATCTACAACCTAGCTATATTACCAGGCATTTCATATTTGCAGATTATTGCGATATATATTTTATATACCATGAGTCATGTTAACAGAATTAAATTAATACGGCAATAGTGGTATCGGTGATAGATTTGATAATTTGCGCAACACAAAATCATCCTAGTAAAACGCCCATACTTTTAAATACCAATCATTATCCAAATTATTTGCCAAAAAGCGGGATAAAGTACGAGTTATTTTTCCGATTTGTGACAATGAGTTACGTTGAACAGAATTAAATTAATAAGGCATGACATTTTTTCAATGCTGGTACCAGTCATGGATTGGATTATTTTGCGCAACAAAATATCATCCTGGTGAAGGATCGATACTTTTAATTTTCGTTATCATGATTATTTGCAGAAATTATTTTCTAATAAATCGACTTGTTTTTCTAACTTGTGACAATTTATTGGATATCGTAACAATTACGGCTAAAAATACCGTATTTCCCGGCTAATAAGTCTACATGGCAAATGGCATCATGTTAGTTTGGTAGAATCATACTCACAGAATTAACTATTTTTTAACAATAAAGCGGTAAATTTAAGTTGTGAAGCGGAAATTATTTTGGACAACCTATTAACCCGAATGTTGAAATAATTTTGGAAGTACTACACTGTACGTCAGGGCTGGGCAATTATTTTTGCTATCGGGCCACATTGAATATTCCAAATGCAGTGGCGGGCCGGACTAAGTAAAGCCAATTGTGCTTTTTTAATGCATTTCAGTACAAATTTAAATAAAACAAAGTACTATTGTACTCCGTTATTTTTATTTAAAACACAGTTATTAAAACTAGTTTAAAACATAAATATCGCGATTTCGAGACAATACATATGATCAGAGAAACGTCACGCTTGCAAAACAATGCTGAATTTTATCATTAATGCTAAAGAGTGAGTAACTATGCGGAATTAAGACCATGCCTTCGATGGCCAAACATTCGTGATTCATATAACTTTGTTGTCACCATAGCATTTTTAACGTAAACAGGGGTCGTGGAAAATTGTAACGCATTGAAAGGCGTTGCGAGTTTAAAAGTATGGAATGCACTGCTCTAAAAAACAACGTCTATCTGCGTATATAAAAATGTGAAATAAAGTGCCGGAATATACTTAATTTTGATACCTATTTTTGCGATACGGGTATATTTAAAATGCATTGATATGGGCACATTTAAATGTCTTGCTTTGTTGTTTTAAACTTAACCCGCGATTGCTTTGGCAAAATATAATCATTACTACTCTTAAATACCACCCCATGCCTCGGATCTAAAAATGTGAGATAAAGTGGCAGATTACTTTTATTCGTGTTTTGCGATTTCGTGAAATCAACAAATGTGATTTGTTCTTGCAACAATGACTTGTCTCTATTTTACAGATTTCACCAATAGAAAATCCCTACGTCTGCAATAAAACCACACCGAGTTAAATTCAATTTAGTACCATGAAAATCGGTTGAATTTACTTTACTTTGTGCCATGGGCACCAGAAATTTTCCAGTTTCCAATTTCTACAACAGCGTTTTTAATCTGTCGCAAGCCTTCTACATCAATCTTGTATGTGTCCAGTTTTTAGTATTTTATATTGCCGCTCTGAAATCTCGATTTAGGTTGCTTGCAGATGCACTCCTTTATCTTTAGCATTATTATATAATGACTCGTTTTTCTCAATGGTTTCACAGTTCCGTATGCAAGACATATATATATATATATATATATATATGGAGGTTGAAGGAAATTTGTGATTATAATCACCGACGTAAAGGTGTTTACGGTCTAAATAACATCTCGAGCTGACGAAAACAATCGGTCATTTAAAAAAAAATTAGTCGAATGGTATTGCCGACTTTTTCATTTTCCTAAACAAAATTTTGTTCACAGTTAAAGTATACTTTATATGAAATTAAAAAGAAAGTGTCCACATCTAGAAACCTGCTCGCGGGCCGGATGAAACGTTGCCGCGGGCCGGATGTGGCCCGCGGGCCGCAACTTGCCCAGGCCTGCTGTACGTGCACGGGTTATTTCACAGCTGTGTTTTCCTGTCCCTGTCGTTTTCTGCTGAAACGACAAAACGAAAGGGTCACAAATCATTTTATCTCGGTGGCGGTGTTCCTCTTTAAAGTAACGATAACCGGCCTGCGATTAAATATCATGATTGGCAGACCCTAATACCCAAATATAAGGTTACACAAATCATGCCTGAGAAGACTCATGCAAATAATAAGCAGGCCAC